AGCCCAGCACCCACACAGCGACCACCATCGGGCTGCCGGGACCCGCACAGCCCCGTCCTCCCCCCTTCCGTCCCCCCGCTCCCCGCGCAGCTCCGCTCCCCGCTCACCAGCCCCAGCGCGGCGGGCGGCACCAAAGCGGCGCTGACGGAGCTCCACGCCGCGGACAGCGCCGCGCCCGCCGCCTCCATGTCCCGCAGGAAGGGGCGGAGCGCCGCGCCGCCGTTGGGGCCGCGCGATGAGCGGACGGGGGGAAGCGCTGCAAGGATACAACGCCGAGCTGCTGGAGGGTGGGTGAGCGGGGCCGGACGGGGGTGACGGGGGATGCGTGAGCTGGGTGATCACACGGACGGTCGTTCCGAGCAGCGCTGGCGGAGCTCCGCGCCCGGCGGGATGAGCTGAGCGAACGGATCCGGGAGGAGGAGGCGGAGCGCGGACGGTTGCAGAGCCGCATCGCGGCGCTCACGGAGCGTTTGGCACGGAGCTCCGAGCGCACGGCCCGGCATCTGAGTGCGCGCCGCCAGCTGGACGCCAGCATCGCTGAGAGCGAGGCGGCTTACGGCAAGGTACGGCCGGCAGGGAGCGGGGAGCTGCGGTAGGGAGAGGGGAGAATAAGTTCGTGGAGTAAGTTCGGGTATAACGGCGGGGACGCGGTTGCACAGAGAGGCGGTGCTGCCTCGTCCCTGCAGACGGCCCTGGGTTTATTCATGGCTGAGAAACGGAGGAGTTGTGTGTGATGTTATGCCCTGGGTTGGGATCTTCTCACGTGGGTTCTGCAGCTGCTTGCTGGCTGCTGACTGAACTGGAGTGGTGCTTTGGACAGAAGTGCCTCTCACTGGGGGTGGGAATATCTTCCCAAGGCCCCCCAAGGTCCTGAAGAAGCAAACTGCTCTAGATGAAAAAGCTTTGGATAGCTAGAAAATGTTTCTGAATAAGATGGGATAGCAGTAATGTCTTACGTTATAGAAGGGGACAGACTTTAGCAGGTTTTGTAGCAATAGCACAAAGGAAAATGGTTTCCAACTACAAGAGGGGAGATTTGGACTGGATATAAGAGGAAGGTTTTACACTCAGGGCAGTGAGGCACGGCACAGGTTGCACAGAGGCGGTGATGCCCCATCCCTGCAGACAGCCAAACTCAGGCTGCTGGGGCTGTGAGCACTGCTGGAGCTGTGGGTGTCCCTGTGCACTGCAGGGAGTGGGACCTGATGGCCTTTAAGGTCCCTTCCAACTCAAAGGATTCTAAGATTGTGACTGCTCCATTCTGCATGCAGGGTAACAGCTGAGTTCACTTCTTAATTCAAGCCCCAGTCGGCTCTTCTTTAAGAAATAAAAGTGTTTTTCCAGGCAGTTGCCTACGTTTTCCTTTCTCCCATGTCTTTGTAAGCGTGCCATCCTCCTCACCCACCCGGCCCAGAGCTAAACGTGGTTAGTAGCAGGGGTTGGGATGTAACCAGCTGCCACGATTCACTCATTAGCGGAACATTCGTCAGCCAACACTAAAAGAGAAGTTGGTTCAGCCACCATACCCCAGTCTCTCTAATGCCTGATGATCCTGGTGGACCCTCTGCATCTCCCACATTAGCTGCTAACAACTGTAAAGAGTCAAGACTTCCATCAGCACACACCCCAACACAGCACATGAAAGGCACAGCCCGGTGCCTCGCTCAGCCAGCACACAGATGAGGGCTCCCAGCAGAGCACTGCTCACCACCAGACTCCTCCCAGTGCTGTGATGACACCCACGGGGATGTCAAACCCACCAGGATACAGAAGTGGTGCTTCCAAAGCGCTTTCCAGGGAGCACAGAGCCCCAGAAGACATACAGAGCATTTCAGAATGCTGCATGGAAGGGAAGGTGGTGTAAGGAAGTGCTCCAAAGACACAAAGGTTTGGGGAGAACTTGTGTGAAAATGGAACAGCTTAGAACTGGTGTTGTAAAGTTACACCACAAACAGCACAGGTTCGAAAAGAAACCTTCCCTGAGATACAAACCACAACTCCCTATCCTACAAACAAATCCGTGTTTATTGAAATTAGGAGACAAAGTCACAGCTGGTAAAAAGCTGAGGGGTGAGGAGAGGAAACATAGTCATCCTGCAGACAGAAAGGAGGAACAGAGTCCCTTTCCTGTGCATTCAGGTCTCCTGTGTATGATGGTGCTCCTTGCCCTTCTCTGGCCCGTGGGAGTCTCAGGACTCACCATGTTCTGCCATGGGGACAAGACAGCAAGATCTCACACATCCTGCTCCTCTGCTCCTGCAGGGCTTTTCACCTCTCCTCTGACAATTTCATACTCCTTAAGGCCATAGGAATGAGTTCAGACAATCGCTGGGACTGCAGCACCACATTCTGTTACAGCTGCCCACTGTACAGAGATGAGCTGCACAGACAGCGAGATCTAAGCCTGGTGATACCTGGTCTCCTAGGGCACAACAGGTGGGAGTGTTAGATTATAAAAATACGTGCTAAAAACAGAAGAAACTGGATTAAAGAAGCAAGATTTAGTCTCATTTAAGGTCATTTTGGGGTTACCTATCAAAGTAAGAAACCTGAAGCGTTCCAGGTTTAGTAGTGGAAAACATTGGGTCTGCTGCCTGCAATTTTAATACTGCTCCAAAAAGCCCAAGTACAAAGTAAACTTCAATCCACAACCTGCTGCAGGAAAGTCTCTGCTTTGTGTTCCAAGACAGATAAATGGCTTAAATGTTTTTTAAATTCAGAATATGGGTGTAACAAGAGAAATTCCTGCACAGCCACCCCTGCAGTGAGACAGAACACCTAAATTTTCAGTGTTGTATTGCTCAGAGGGGTGGAGCATCCCTCCTGCTGCAAGGTACATCAGCTGAATTCAGAGAGAACTGTTTAGTTGATAGAAATAAATATATATATATATACATAAGCTGTTTTTATTTCCTTCTTCCTCAGATTCTGGAGAGTTCTCAGACATTGCTAGATGCCCTGAAGGGAGAAATTGGGAATGCTAGCAAAGCCAGTGAGTCTGCAAGCACCTCAAAACAAACACGTGGACAAAAGCATTCCTAAAGCTGTTCTTCAGCCTGGCCAGGCCCCTTGGCTGGGGGCAGCTGCTGTTCTGGTATAAGGATGCCACCATTAATAAAAGCGTGTTGCAGGAGTATATGTTCCTTTCAGAAGCATTTTGGTATTAGAGAACTGCTGCATGTCACCCCCTCCCACCAGAGCACCACAGGCCTGTCCCAGCTAGGGAAAGTGTGGGCACAAAGCTCCTTCACTGGGATCAGCACCACAGCAGCACTTCAGCTGGCTGAAAGCAGCAGAGCAGCCTGCAGGATATCATTCAGCATCCCTCATTGACCCACAGCAGAACGAAGCCAGGGCAGGCAGCTCTGGGTTCACCACTTACACATTTGTTACTCTGCAGCTCAGGAGCCAGGGCTGCCGTAAGCTCACGGCCCGAGCTTCCCAAAAGATATAAAAAGGTATGAAGAACATTTTCAGATCATAGGTCAGTGTCAGCTCGGCTAGACGTTGCCTATATATAATACACAAAGCAATAAAACCCAAACATCACCAAAAGATGGCAGCCTGGTCCTTCAGATAGAGCCACGTGTGGGGGCACTGCCCATCTCATAAAGCCCAAAGAGGCTGTGTCTATTCCAACTGCATCTCTTTTAATCCCAGAAGTACAAATCACATTAGCAGCAGTGTTCAGTCTTTTCCAGAGTGTAATTTTGACCCTGAGTGTACAGTCGTAGAAAATTTAAATGGAAGAGACTAGTGGATTCCTTTGCATATTGGCTGCATCAAACAATTACAACAGAACTATAAAAATACTAGAAAAAAAAAATCATATTCCTTGTTCAAGTTCTGCAGAAGGAAGGAGTGAAATGGTCCTCCTGTGCTTTGCATAGAGAAGTAGAGTGAGCAAGGCAAGAAGCAAATCTCCCCACCACCTAAGACACAAATCTTGGGCCTGGCCCCATTAGATGCCAAAACAAAACAAGAGGAACTGGCAAACAAGCACAATTAGCAGTAGGGACTGGAGAGCAGAGGCAGTTACAGAGATCAAAGCTATGGCCAATGTTTGGGAACCTTCACAAGGCTCAAGCTGGACTGGGTGCTTCCTGCTGTCAGTGCAAAAGTGACACCTAATGCTGAAGGCATTAATTCCCCTCCCCATCACCCACACAGTGCATTCAGCTTCCTTCACAAGAGCTTAACTGGCACATAAATTCCATGACAGTTTGGTGAAACTAGACCCAAAAACACATTGAGAACAACCCATGAAACCTTAGCAGTTCTTCCAGCCGCTGTAACCTGGCTGTCAGAACCACTGCAGTGAGTCCAGCCACCTGCCCTCAGCTGTCTTCAACTGGGGCCTCTCATGAGAGAAGTGTTACAAATGCTGTCCAGGCCTCATTCAGCACTTGGATGAGCACAGTCATAAGCACTGAGAGAATCTACATCCATCCTGGGGTTATGTATTGCTTTAAGATACCTGTCTAATCGACAGCTGATCTTGAACAAGGAATATGCAAGGCCACAAGGAGAATAAACCATATGCATTAAAAAAAAACCAGTCGTTTAGGTCCCAGAACCCAGTGCAAATATTCTCCAAAGACGCCCAATGGCATCCAGTCCACCCTTGGCATCAGGATGCTGTGAAGACTGCGATGAGGAAGGGACCCAGGCGTTGGTTTCCATGGTGCACTGCCAGGCTCTGCCCAGCAGCTGCTGCTGCAGGCTCACAGATGGAGCAATCAGAAGTACAGAGCAGGCTCACTGCTGAAGTCAGAGAGTCCGCCCTTCTCAGCTGGGGTGAGCTGTGGAGAAAGCAGAGTTGAAATGGAATCATCACCAAAGGGAAAGCAAACGAGGACCCATGCCTCTGGGTGGTGAGGGCTGTGGTGGCACCTTGCCTGGGGCTGATGAGTACATTAATTCCCCTCCACAAGTGCCCTGCAGCACAAAGCATGCCAGCTGCATTACGACTGCCTTACACTCACACAGGAGGTAGGGCAGCTGGTGGCAGTGGGAGCTTGCATTAAGCTCTTCCCACCGCCCAGGGAGTCGTGCCACAGCTCAACGACGTGCTCTGGAGAAGGCAGATCCTGTCCCACCCACTGCCCAGATGGAGAGCACCCCAGAACAAAGCCAGAAATCACTCTGAAGCCTCACCATAACTTGGTTCCCATGGGAATCAGCTTCCTTCAGGAGGGGTCCCTTAGCAGGCATCTCCTCATACTTCTGCTCCTGCCACTCGCTGAACTTCACAGAGTGCTTTGGGGTGTAGCTGGATAGATCTGCTGCAAGGACAAAGCTGAAGTGAATGCCTCACACCACCCCAAAAGGAAGAGGGGTCACGATTCTGGCAGGAACAGGATGGAAGCAGCCCATCTGCAGGACGGGCAAGGAACCTGTTCCTGCTGCAGGTACAAGCTTGTGCCATGTGGCTGTCAGTTCCCCTGCCCAGAGCTGCTAGCAGACATTGCAGCAGCACCAACCCTCTCAGCATAAAGGGTTTTTATTTTTAAGTTTTACATTTTTAAGGTTCACCGTATCTCATGCAAGAGAGGTCTGGGAATTCCCTGATCTGGTTTCAAACTCTGTCCCCACTAAAACCAATTCTGCTGCCATATCACCTCTGCTAACATCTCCAGCTGTCTGGGACACATAAGGGCTGTAGGCAACACAGAGACAGACACCACCAGTAACCCTGCAGTAGCTGTGCCTCACCCACCTGGGTTAGCTCCATTGGGATGCAAAGTGCTGTTCGGGCGTGGAATGTGAAAGGTGTGAGATTTGTCCTCCTCTGTTTCAGAAGTGCGTCCTTCCTCCTCCTCCTCCTCCTCCTCTTCCGCCAGTGAGTTCTCAGATGGATACTCAAACATGGTCTGCAAACTTGTCTCGTTGAAAGAGATCTTCATCTAGACAACAGCGAAGGAGAATTGTTAGATAGCAGCATGAGAAACCATCGCTCCCAATGTTTGCGCTGGCAGAGCACCTCCACCCCAAAGCTCCCCCATCTGTAAGGAAGGCACTGTGTCCTCCCACGCCTTTCCCCACATGCCCTGCTGAATCTCTGCTGTGCTGAGAGGAAGCACAGAGGCAGACAGCCAAACAGACGGGACAGAGTCAGGAGCCCCAGAGGTGCAGGGTACTTCAGCTTCTTGCCACCGCCTCACACTGCGATGCCAGCAGCCAGGGCTCTGCTGCACATCCCCAGCAGGAAGCGGGGCTGCCAAGGAGGAAAGGAAAACACCCTCATGTTGAAAAGGTGACATCTCTTCCCACCTGCCAACTCCTTTGAGTTCCTGCACGCTAGAAACACCAGTGGTCAGGACCACATTTTGGCAGGGCATCATGGTAAGAAACAATTCACAAGGCAAAGAACAGATTAATATCAGAGATCAGAAGATAGAAGCAGCTAAGGGAAAGATGGTAACAGGCCATATCAAAGAGCAGAAGTGCCAGATAAGTGGGAGCTCCTTAAGGTTCTGTTTCAAAAGCAGTTTTATTAAGTACTCTCACTAACGACCTTCACACGATAACTGGGAGGCTGAGAAATGAAGATGGCTCCAACTTGCAACACGGACAAGGGAAACAACAGAACTGTATGGGTTGTTTAGAAAGTCAAACGGCAAGCATCCTACACGTGGGTGGACGTTTAAGATCAAGGGTTGATCTAAGAGCCTCCTTACAACTTCAGCAATGGTGAAAACTTCAACGTGCGTGAATAAAAGCAGAAGGCACAAATTCCCTGGAGCAGAAAGGCCAAACTTAGACACAGTAACTCCAGATGTAGCCTTCCAGGTTCAGAGCTGTCCTAATCATTACCTACAGCTTTGAAGATCTGGTTACAATCAATTCACCTTTCTTGGGCAGGTGGAGCTGAAATTCAGCCTGCTGACACTAACAAAAACAGAGGTCGAGGAGAAGTGTTTAAGCTCTTTGTAAGTACACCAAGAAAATAAACACCAAGGAGCAGAGAAGAACTGCTGATGCCAGCACACAACACAGACAAACAAGGAGGATAAGCCTGCCAAGAATACGTTTAAGCCAAAAATAGGGGAGTATCTAGCCAATGCGGATCAGGGTTCAGGACCAGCTGCCTAAAAGGGGGTTCTGATCCCCTTACTCCTAACTGCATTTAACACTGAGCTAATAGGGTTACGGACAGAATTAAGGGGCAGGATCCATCTTGCTTAATTCTGTAGTCTCTCTGCATCCTGTGCAGTCAGCAGCAGGCAGGAGATGCAGTGCATCTGCCCCACGTGCCACACTTCCCTTCGTGTACAAAACACCCCGGGCTGAGGAGCAACACGTGGCCCTAAGCAGCCTTCCAGCAGCACGGGGGGTGATCCCATTTCAGAGATAGGGGCTGCACTAAGACATCCTTGTGCTGGAGCACCCCAGTGCTGCTCCCCAAGCTTTGCCTGCTGCTGACCTACATGCTCCCTGGCCCGAGGCAGCACTGATGGCTCACAATGTGCCTCTGTGCGGGGCTGAGCGGCGCTGCCAGGCTGGGGGCTGCGGGATGGAGCTGCTGAGCCATCCAAGTTTGGGACAGAGCTCAGTTTTCCTCATTTTCTGCTAAGAGAAGGAAAGCTGTAAGAAGTATAGCCTTGAGGCCCATCAGGACTAAAGCTGTGCATGGGGTGAGGGCAGAAAGCAGCCCCACTCTGCAGCAGAGCCCCAGCAGGAGCAGCACAAGCAGCACCCAGAATCACAGAATGGCCAGGGCTGGAAGGGACCTCAAGGATCATGAATCTCCAACCCCCCTGCCACATGCAGGGCCAACAGCCATCCCACCTAATGCTAGACCAGGCTGCCCAGGGCCCCATCCAATCTGGCCTTGAACACCTCCAGGGACGGGGCATCCACAACCTCTCTGGGCAGCTGTTCCAGCACCTCACCACTCTCTCTGTAAAGAACTTCCCTCTGACATCCAACCTATATCTCCCTTCCCTCAGCTTAAAACCATTTCCCCTTGTCCTGCTGTCACTCACCCTTTCAAAGAGTTGATTCCCCTCCTGTTTGTAGGCTCCCTTTAGGTTGCAATGAGCTCACCCCGCAGCCTTCTTTTCTCCATGCTGAACAAGCCCAGCTCCCTCAGCCTGTCTTCATAGGGGAGGTGCTCCAGCCCCCTGATCATCTTTGTGGCTCCTCTGCACCCTCTCCAACAGCTCCCTGTCTTTCTTGTGCTGGGGGCTGCAGAGCTGGACACAGTACTGCAGATGGGGCCTCACAAGAGCAGAGCAGAGGGGGACAATCACCTCTCTGAGACCCAGAGACAGAGGGCCTGAATCCAAGCAGCTCCCATTTGCCCACAGCCAATGCCAGGTCCCTGCTGTGCTCTAGGAGGCAATGCTGAAGCTATTCACCTGCAGCAGGGCCAGCCCCACACCCCACCAGCCAGTCCACGTGGATACCCCACCCCTACGCACCAGGGAAGTCCTGCTGCCACAGAGCTCTCAAGGACGCACCCTGCCAAAGCAAACAGCAGAGGAGCTGCTTATTGTGAGACTGGGAAGCAGCTGGAAATCACTAATTGGAAATTCAGTAACGGCAGCCCTGGCTTTGCAGGAACACAAAGGTGCTGGGGTTATTGCTTTAGGAGAAAAACACATCCTGAGAGCCAGTCTTGTTCAAGGAAGGAAAATTGCAGCCTTCAGCCGGGAGCGTTTGCAGGGATTTAGCAGTATTTGCTCAGTGGAATGCTTTATGCAGAGCTGTGTCACATAACCAGAGCCCAACCCCAGCCGTGCACCTACACAGGAACACTCCCTGCAATGAGCTGGGAAGAATAAAGCTGTTTTGGGGGGAACACTGTGCTGTTGAGAAACCGGCTTCTTGTTGCCATAGCAAAAATCATTTATTTATTTGCTAGGATTTGAGCAGTAATGAGTAATACACTACTCGGGAAAGAGAAGCCAGGGTAAACATTGCCCAGCAAGCCTAACGCTGGTAGTCGTACACGGCTTAGGAACACAAAAAGGAAAAAGGGAAGTCTGCTTTGTTTTGAGAGATGCTGTCAGGAGCAATCTGCACCCACTATGTACACAGACCAGAAATAATATCACCAATTCACAGCCACCTGCCACACAAACAGGGAAGGCTGGCAGATGCCTCACCTCCCAAAGTCAGGGTGAGAAGCCTGAAAGTCTCTGCAGTGAAGGACAGAGCAGAGCACTGAGGGCAGCTCCCAGCACACGGATATCACAGCAAACCAGAGCTGAGGATGCAGATCAATCTCTGCGTTGTGGCTTTTCTCCTCCCATTAGCACCATGCTTGGGAGGCACAGCAGAGCCAAAGCAACAGCAGAGCTGCTCCTCTCAGCTACTAATTCCCTCTAACCATTCTCCTCCCCGAGCAATGTAATCCTGAAGTGACAAAATGAGGGACAGCACTGTCTCCTACATCCCCAGGGCACGCGTGGGCTGCCAGCACACTGCTGGGTGTGATTCTGGGCAGCTGGTTCAGCAGCTTTTCACGCCTGGTCAGCCAAATGCCTCTTCTTTGCTCAGCAGCAGCGAGAGGGTTTGGGCTGATACCTGCAGGGAGCACAGATCGTTGAGCAGAATTGGACTGAAACTTTCATTCAAGCATGATTAAATCAGCGTTCTGAAAGAAAGTCAACCTGTGCTCCCATACAGTCTCACACAGAGCTTTGCTACATCTTTTTCACTACAGTGGTAGTCAAGAGATTTGGTCAGTGACACAAAGACAACACCCTGAGACATCGCACCAGAGACCTGAGAACTGCAGCTCAGCCAGCTGGGGCCCTGGGAAGCCTGCTGCTGCACAGCATCCCTTAGAGACCCGCAGGGATAGCAGGGGCAGCTGAGCAAGCACCAAACCCTGGGCATGCTGGGTGCTGTAATGCAGAACAGTCCTCCAAGCTTGATGCTGCCATGGGGTACAATGGACAAATAGAAGGCACAGAGGGCAGAAGCATACATTTGAAAGGAGACAAGAGTCCCCGTGACTCAGCTTGACCACGCTCACAAGCTTAGCAGGCGGTGGCATTCCAAAGCTGCACGCTTCCACAGGAACTGCAGTTTCTCACCCAGCCCTGCAGTCAATGATCCAAACAATCTCAGCAAGTTTCCTCTCTGAAACCCAAAGATAAAGGCCCTCTGGGAAGGTCACCCATTCCAGAGGAGTTAGCAGTGAGCTTATCAACGTGCTCATACTTGTCCTGAAGCACAACCGTGTGCCAGCCCAACTGCTGAATAACCCCAGGCACAGCACCTATGCACGGCTACAAGCTCTGCAGTGGCCTCAACACATTAACAAGGCACTGGCAGTCATTCTAAAGAAGATAAGGAGCATCCGTACATCTAAAGCCTTTCCTTGGAACAAGAAGGAAGGGTTTTTCCTTGGAATTCCCCAGGGATGGAGCACACAAGACGTGGCTCCTCTATCAGATTAACCCCATACTGCTCTGGCTGCAGTTCCCCAGGTGTGCTCAGAAATGACAGATGACAATTTTCTGTCACTCTGTACAGCTGTTCCACCTTCAATTCACTTGATCATGCTTTTCTGAGACGTGTTTTCCAACAGCAACACTTGGTTTTACTCAGTGATCAACTGCAGAACTGAGTTAGCTACTGAATAGAGCCAGAAACACTAAGGGTTTACAGCAAAGCACGCCAGGGCAGCACTGTGCTGCTGGCAAAGGGGAGATCACCTCCAGGACTGCATCCCAGCTCCCAACCACCAGGCAAAACAAGAAAGTCTCCATTTACAAGGCAACCCACAAAGGCAGCCCTGTGTAATCAATATGCTGAAGCACATGGTAGACAGGAGCAATGCATGGAGATTCGAAATATTAAACTCCTCACACAAGACATGGGGAAGTTTCAAATTCCTGCTGAGAAAGAACAGGGCAGGGACATCCCCAGAGCATCGCAGGGCGCACAGCTCTTTTTAACTCTTCCTTTCAGCCAAGCAGAAGTGCCAGTGCCCAGCCGGCCACAAGCGGTGCGGCACAAAGCAGCGATTCATCACAGGAGCCCTTCATCCCTCTGCACATCTGCATGCAGAGCCACAGCCTGCCACGGCTCAACAAGGAATCCACGCATTGCTCAGCCCGTAAGGGTCAGACGACTCTCCCTGCATGGCATGCAGCTGAATGCACAAAGAGAGCAGGCAGAACCACGGTGCAATCAGTGCCAGGGCCTGGCGCCTTCACTAACAGCGCCGGATCTGCCCAGGATGCTTACAAAGCTTCTCGGCACGACAGACCCTTCAGTGTGACTTCCTGCACAGCCATCCAGAGCACAAAGCACTCCAAATCTCTCACACTGTGGGGCCGGACTGAGCCCTGGGCACATCCCACCAGCTTCTGACTTGCTTAAGAGCTTTGACTGTAGTTCTTCTGTCTCATCCGCACGCATGTGATGGGCGGAAGTGAAGTGCAGGACTGCAGGAGCAGCTCAGCACAGGTGAGGCCATGGAGAACCCCAGATTGCAACAGCCCTCCCACTGCTGAGGAGATGAGCATGACTCATCTGCTCCATTGGTACTGGGCTGGTACGACAGAAGCAATGTTCAGAGGCGCTGGCAGGCAGCAAGTAAACAAAAAACCAACACACACATCAATGCGCTCAGGTCCGGCCTGCCGGGTGCTTTCGGCTCTAAGCACTGCTGTCTGCAGCCTTCAGCCACCCACTGCACAGCCCGAGATCAGCAGTTAGAAAGGGGAGGTCCTGCTGGAGACCATCTCTGCTGGGGACGGCCCCAGGCTGAGCTCAGGCATGCAGAAACTTTCTGAGCAGAACTCACCACTGCTGACCTCACCGACCAAAAATCCAACACGTCCCTGTCAGATACATCCAACAGCCCCTCCTTACAGGTGGCAAATCAGTGCCACCAGCACAGCACAGGCGTGAGAAACAGAAAATGGCAAGGCACAGGCTCTCAAAAAGGTCAATAAAACCAATCTTTGACTTGCACCTTCCAAAATACAGAGGGGAAGGAATCTTCATCAGGTTTCTGCAGACAAACCCCTGCTTTCACTACCAGGCAAAACTATTTGTGCCATACCTTGCAAACAGCACTGCCAGCAGCTGCCACCAATTCAATTCCACATGGCACAGGCTTGCTGCAAACAGCTTTGGGCAACAGCTGGAGGTGCTCACCCCTGCCAGCATCCTGAGCCACAGCTGGTTCTCACCAACCACCTCCAGAAGTGAGCAGATGGAAAGCTACGGAGCGAGGAGCTCAGCAGGTCAGACCCACAGAACTGCTGCCCAACACTGCCCATGCTGAAAGGCTGGGGGATGTCTGCAGCAAGTGTCCAACAGACATTCACGTGGGTATCTGCATGCCACATTCATGCTTTAAGCTGCTCAAAACATTAAAAATTTGGCTAAACTACAATCTTTGTAGGCAATTTTGCAGAGAAGCAGGGAAGCGTTGGGTTCGAACTGTGTGGATCCCATCTTGCTCTTGTAAGCCCTGTTTGCACAAAGCTGCTGCTCACCTTCCATCAATGCTGTGGTGCCCACTGGCTCTCACACCCTGAAACCCACAGGACTCGGGTGCCTGCCTTAGAGGTCACCTTTCCTGCAGGGTCCCCACAAGGGCAAAAACTGGGTCTGGGGATGAACTTGATGAGACATAAGGGATGAGCACAGCCTGAGCACCTTCTGTGCGTGCAGGACTGCATGGGTAAGCCCAAACTCCATCGTCCTTGAAGCACAAAGCCTGAAGCCAGACAGTCTCCTGGGCTCCCCACCCGGCCCAGCAGCCGGCAGCCCCCCAGCACCCACTCCAACATGCCAGCCACACATTGCTTAGAAACTCAGATTCCTACCACGCTGACAACCCCAGGTATGTTATTTTGGCACGTAACCAAGGATTGCTTCCTGTCAACTCGCCCAAGCCAAATTTTATCCTCAGAGATCCAAAAGATCCACACCCTGCAGCAAGGCCTTCCCTCCCACCTGCGGCTGCTGGCAGACTGACGTCTCCTCGCTTCCGCTGCCATAAGGGAGGATGAAGATGAGCACTGAACAGAGGTCACAGCCACGCTCTGCATCCTCTCCCCGGCACCCTGTTTAGAACAAGGGTCAGTAGGTCTCCTCCCATCCCTGTGCACGTATCCTGTCCTCCCTGCCCCAGCTGACAGCTCAGCCAGCCTCTTCCGCAGCCACCGCACTGCTGCACCTGCACTGATGGTGAGGCCATGGAATCACAGAATGGCCTGAGTTGAAAAGGACCACAATGATCATCTAGTTTCAACCCCCCTGCTACGCGCAGGGTCGCCAACCACCAGACCAGGCTGCCCAGAGCCACATGGAGAGGTCTCTTGGAACGGTCACAGAGCAGAGGGACAGACCCACACGGCCCTGGGACAGACCTGCAGGAGGACGAGCGCTCAGCCCCCTGCCCATACAGGCAGCCCACTCCCCACTGACAGCACAGAGAGGTCTCTACCCCCCTTGGCCCCACACAACCCCACGTTCACCATCACAGCTCTGTGAACGCCTGTCCCACCTCAGCAGCTCGAGCTGCCTCTACTAAAGAGCTGGGACAGCTTTTCCATCCCCCTCACACTTCTCCTCCCACCACCAGCTCACTGTCCAGCAGAAGTAGACAGCCCCAGCCCCAGAACAGTCACTTCGCACACTTGAGGAGCAATAAAGCTGACTTCCAAAGGGCCCTGAGCAGCAGCAGCAGCCAGAGGCCCGGGGCCACAGTGAGGCCACAAGCAGGGCTTGGCACCCAGAGCCATGGGGATGGACTGGGGCCAGCCTGCAGGGATGGGTGGCTCAGCAGCCCAATGCGAACAGCACACAAATGTTTGCTCCTGCCCAGCTCAGACCAAAACCAAGTTTCTGAAAAGCCCAACACATCTACAAAACAGAACTCATGTTTTTGGCTGGTTGCCTTGACGACACACAGCGATCTCTTGGGAAGAGACCAAGGAATGCGTTCTCATGCAAGCTCCTTCCTTTTCAGGCATCAACACTCAGCCTCATTATCCAGAGTAAAAGCCACAAACATCCTCTAGGTTAAGAGTAAACAGAACTCTTTCCATTTGCTACAGCATCCCCCAGATCCTGGCTACAGAGCCACACCACAGAGCTGGGAAAGGAGCAGGCACAAAACCCATGGGCAAGGCCGCATCTCACCAGGAACTCAAGGCTGGGCCTCCTTTCCTAAAGGGCTTTTGCATTTATTTCAACCTCTGCACCGTGACAGTTCATTACTCCTTTGCCTTTAACCTCTCTCAGAAGTGAGCTCTCTGCAGCTCCCACACAGAGCACCCCCACAACCCTTAGCAAACTCCACTACTGATGCACACAGGCCCTGCAGCACTACTGCCCTTCATGTCCCAGGGGACAGCCACTGCCATGGCTCCAACATCACGCAAACCCAGCACTCGGCAGACACAACAGCTGCCAAAGAGCCACACGCAGTACCTCGGGCTGGGAAAGAGCTCTGGGTGTCTCTGTCCCAAAGTCCTGCTTGGAGCAGGTCCAAGCGGATCAGAGCACTGCATTCAAACAGCCCCAGGGACGGAGGTGCCAGGGCTCCTCTGCGTCCTTCTGCAGAGTTTGCCCACCTCCAACAACACGCTGCACTAGCTTTGTCCTCATCTCCCTTCTTCCTTTTTGCTTAAAGGATGGCAACACCTGAGCAGATTTGCCTGTTCTGCTGCACGGCTCTCATGCTTCTCATCTGCCACATGCCTTAATTAATACACGCTGATTGCTCCTATGAAGGAACTTAAGAACATTAAGCCAAGAGGAGCAGCGCTCGCCGCCTCTCTCCCAAATGAGATGAATCCCATTCAAAGGATTCCCTCGCACTGTGATGCTCAGCACCTCAGGCAGCTGTGTGAATTCAGTCCATCAAACGCTCGGTGGAATTCAGGTAACGGAACGTCAAACAGCTCTGCCTGCTACAGAAAAACATGTCAGAAACCCACAGATCAGGGTCTGTAGTGACACAGTGCCTGTGCTGCCTGTCACCACGGCAAGCAGAACAATTCACGCCTACATCTCAGCACATCAGCTCTGCCAGCTGTGCCTCCATCACACCCCAACACGTTTTGTGAAGCTGTTTGAACTCTCAATTCAGCAAACTTGGAGCAATGGGTGAACCCTGCAGCTCTGAGCTGAGCGGCAGCTGCTGTCCCACGGAGCAGACAGGTGGCATAATCCCATCAGGAGGAGTTAAGTTGGCGCTCATCTCTTTCTGCCTAATAGAGACCTAATTCCTGAGCCTCTATCAATAGGTCCCTAATCCAGGGAAGGCACCAGCGTGGCACCGCGCTCTGCAATGCCAGCGATCCCGGGGAGCTCAGTGCACACAGCACAGCAAGGGCTGAGGGGCAGCCACAGCCGTTCCGCCCGCACAGCTCTCCTCCACCTTCTACATCCCCCAGTCAGTTCACCTTCTGTCACTGCACCTCCGAGAAGAGATTGCAGGAGGGGCCGTGCTGTTATCACAGAATGCATCCCACCCAAGCTGCCCACCTCCCTGCCCAGCAGCTCACACAGCTCCGTGCTGCCAGCAGAACAAGAAGCCACGCCACGGGCCGTGAGGAGCTCCTTTGGGCCTCCCTGCTCAGAGCAGAGCCCCAGCCCATTACCTTCTTGCGGCGGGAGCCCGTCTTGCTCATGCAGGACCTCTCGAGGTTCAGGTACCCGCCGATCACCTCGATCTCGTTCACTGTGGGGTAGCGCTTTTTGTGGGACGTCCCCACCTGGGGCCCATCAGCATTCTCTACAGCTTTGCTTCTTCCTTTGCTTTCCTCATCCTCCTCCTCTTCCTCCCGCTGAGGAGGCCTCCCACCAGCCTCTGTAAGACCCTGCGGCCCCGAGGCACCGGGCTTCCTTTTGGGCACCACAGTGAAGGTGTTACCTCCCCTCTGGTGCAGCCCGGGGGAGTGCGGTCTGTAGAGGGGCACAGAGGAAACCTCCATCTCCAGCTCAGGGCCGGTTCCTCCGGGCTGATCCAAGTTCTCCGTCCTCACAGCCCTCGGGGAGAGCTCCCCACCGACCGTGTCCACAATGTCATCGATGTAAGTCACAGGTACCGACGGATCCAGAGGCGCCGGCGGGGAAGCGATCGGCTCTTCCTGCTCCGGAGCGGAAACCCGTGGGGGCTCCTTCTGTCCTTTCTGCTGCGGGGACGGCGGCGGTGATGGTCCCGCTCTGTTGCTCTGGGCAGCAGGCAGAGCTGCGCCACCCTCCCGGCGGGGCACGAAGAGGAAGGAGTTGCGTGAATTCAGGCGCAGCTTGGCCAAAGCCTGAGCCTGCAGGTCGTGAGCAGGGATGGCAGCCAGGTCGGGCTTGGGGGCCGGGTGGATCTCGAAGGAACCCCCGGCCCGAGGGGCGAATGCAGAGAGAGGCTGGGTGGCACTGGGGGCCAGACTGGCACTGGGCGGGGGTGATGCGGCCACTTCAACCTCCTCCGGCTTTGGCCTCCTGGCATTGGCAGCGCTGGCGGATGGCACTGGCGGCCCTTTGGGCGGCACGGCCCGGGTGGTGGGCTGGGGGACGCGGCTGGGGGGGGGCAGGCCCCGGGGGGTCACAGTGAAGGAGTTGGAGCCGATCTTGTGGAGGAAGCAGTTGGCCTGGGGAGCTGCGGCTTTGGGCGCAGCCATCGCGGCGGGGGGAGAGACGGGGACGGCCGGTGGGGCGGCAGCCCGGGGGGACACCGGGACCGCCTGGGGACCCGCGGGCCGGGGGGCGGCCGGCTGGGGGAGGGGGGCCGGCAGCGGCTGGGGGACCGCGGCGCGGGGAGAAGCGGCGCGGGGGGAGGCCGGGGCGGCCTTCGGGACCGAGGGGCGGGGGGAGGTCGGCGCCGCTTTGGGGGGAGCGGAGGAGCGCGGGGAGCCCGGAGCCGCCGGAGGGTGAGCGGCCCCGGCCGGCGCTTCCCCGCCCCGGCGACGGCGGCCCCGCGGTCGCTGGCCGAACTTCTCCAGGAGGCGGCTGACGGTGCCCGGCTCGGCGGCCTCGGGAGGCTCCGGCGCTTCGGCCGCTTCGTAGACGAGAACCCGGTCGGCGCGGATCTCGGCGACGGCCGCTCCCCGGCGGGCCAGCAGCTCCCGCAGCGGGTCGGGACGGCGCGGAGGGGACGCGGCGGGGGGATCCCGGCGGCGCCCGGACGGCGCGTCCCCGTCGGCGAAGCAGGCGGCGGCGTCGGGCTGCGACTCGATGATGAGGATGTTGTCGGCGCGGATGGTGCGGATGCCCGGCACGGCGCTGTACAGCTCCAGCAGCTGCTGCAGCGGCCGCGCCGCCTCGGGGCCGTGCCCGGGCAGCCCCTGCCGCAGCCGCCGCCGCTCGCTCTCCAGCCGCATGAACGGGTTCTCTCGGAGCGGGCCCAAGCTCTCGGCCACCACCAGCCGCTCGCCCGTCCCCGCCGGGCCCCGAGCCGCCGCCGCGGACTCCGTCTCTCCGCCGGCCGCTCCGGCCAGCTTGGCCCGCTTCCGCTCCAGGATCTCCCTCTTCCAGGCGGGCTGCGCCCGCGGTCCGGCACCGAGCGGCGGCGGCTCCGCGCTGCTCATGGCGGCGGCTCTCAGGGCACTGCCGCGCACGGCCGCCGCGTCCTCCCCGTCGTCCTCCTCCTCCTCCCGCCGCACCTGAGCCGGGCCCTGCGCAGCGCCGCCCCCGGGCCGGCCGTCCTGCGGGGCGGGGCGGGGCGGGCGGCCCCGAGGGCGGGAGGGCGGCGCGGCCCCGGGCGGTGCGGAAGGCGCTCCCTGCGGCGGGGCGGGGCGGAGCCGCCCGGTTGCGGGGCCGCTGCGAAGTGATGGAATTCTGAGAGTGGGGTCGGGCGGCACCGCCCAGCCACAGCCCTGCGGCTGAGAGCCGTGAGCCGCCGGCCTCCGGTCCGTCCGGGTCTGCCCGCGAGTGCTCGCTGCCCTGCTGGGGCTCCGTGGCTCCTCTCAATGTAGTGCCGCTGGTAAACGTGAAAGAGAACTTCCAGCCCTGTGCAACCCGCTGGTGGCTGATCTCAGGCAAACCGTCCCCACAGAGCCTTCACAACCACGCGGGACTCCGTGCACCACGATGGGTCCCGTCTGCCCCAAACTTTGCTTCCAAAGGCCACGCATCCCCGGGTCCTGGTGCTCATCCCCCCTGCCCAGAGCCACAGCGCGTAACCCCAGCAAGAGGAGGCTCAGGGGGGGCCTCGTTGCTCTGCAGCCCCCTGACAGGAGGCTGTAGCCAAGTGGGGATCCGACCTCTTTTCCCATGCAACAGCAATAGGGTGAGAGGTGATGGCCTTCAGTTACACCATGCGAGGTGCAGGTTGGACAGTAGGAAAAAATCCATCTCAAAAGAGCAGCGATGCAGCAGAACAGAGTGCCTGGGGGGGGGAGGTGTTCCAGGAGCATGGAGATGTGGCACTGAGGGACGTGGCTGGTGGGCAGGTGGGGGTGGGCTGGGGTTGGACTTGGTGCTCTCCGTGGTCTTTTCCAACCTTCATGATTCTATAATTCAACCTAAGGAAAAAAAATAACCCAAATCTGTTATTTTTTTCCTTTTATTTGGGCCCTAGACTGGCAGGAGCACAAGAAGGAACAGCCGAGGAGGAAGGGGATGGGAGGCGTGTGTGAGGATCACCCCACTGTTAGCTCAGCCGTGGTCTGAGAAAGAGCAAAAGTAAGTGGGCATCAAGGGAAAGGACACAATGGGCATCAAGGGAAAGGACATGATGGGCATCAAGGGAAAGGACACAATGGGCATCAGGGCAACACTAAGAAGCATTTTAAGGAAAGCTCTGGAGGAGGCAGTGAGGTTTCTGTGCTGAGGGCAGCAGGCATGGCTGGAGAAGGCAGTGAGGAGCAGGACCGAGCTGAGAGGAGAGTGAGCACTGCAGGACGTCAGATGGGAGCGCAGGAAAACATTTCTTGTGCTGCTTTCACTGCTCTGCCATCGCTGCTCCACTCAAAAGCACAGAGGAAAGCATGGCCGGTGCTTTTCTTCCAGGCAGTGCCTGTTATCAGCTGCCACCAGGTTTCGTTGGGAAGCGATCAGGAAACAATCGGGAGCTCAGGGCTTTCCATGCCTCAGATAACACTGTGTGCTGAAATCCTCAGCCTGCGAGGCACGGAGGGGAATGGCAGGCAGTGACGTGAACAACCTTTGCCCAGAACCGCTCAGTCTCAGCCTGCTCGGGCGTTACGGAGCCGCACCCCGGCACAACACGGTGCTTCACCACCTCGGGTACAGCCCTGCTTACTGGAAGGAACGTCGCATCCTGCTGATAAGGCTCCTACCTTTGCACTCCTGAGCCAAAACGGAGCAATTTGCACAGCTTCAACCATACCTGGAAGTGAGCGGCTGCTGGACTTTTATTGCCGACGTTGCCATTGTGCTGGAAAGGGTCCAACGTCCACCTCCGCTGCTGCCCTGGCTGTGCAAGCCCCAGCTCGATGGAAGGAAGCAGCTCTTTGCAGTTAAGCTTTAATAACACAAGGTTTAAAGTTTGCACACCCCTCCCAGTGTGCCGTCCTGCATCGCAGCCCTCACGGCATCCCACAGCGGTGCCTTGGGTCGAGCATGAGGACAGGGCAGCGGGCAGTGACGTTTCCTGGGGTGACTCATGGCTCAGGCACTTACAGAGCCAACAATGTGCCTTTGTACTCGTGGATCTCAGTGGATTTCTCTTTCATGGTCTCGTCTCGTTGGGTTTTCAGCCCACGTAAAGCCCGCAAATCCTGAAATAATGAATCCCACGGTTGATCTGCACCTGGTACAAAGGAAACGTCTCCCTTTGTGGGGACTGAAGCTGACATCTGGTGGTTTTGTTGCGTGCCCTCCTGCCTTGATGGAAAAAAATGCAGTTATTCAATTCCTCCCCTGCCAGCCAGCACTGTGGGGCCTTCTATCATAGTTCCCATCAACTGCCTTTGTTCTAGGCCGAGCCTGAAACAGCGTAAGGGACTGGGAAGTGAAACTTGGCCAACTACTGAACGCCCTGGAGCTGATCCCCATCGCTGCATTTACACCTCTGGATTCCGCCGGAGCAGCAGCTGAGCGCTCCCATAAGAGGCTCCTGGGAATCCCATTCAGCTCTCATATTCCGGCACAAAAACAAACGCTGGATGACAAAACCCAGGTGTGACATTGGCAGGGGACAGGGCCGGGCTGTGTGATGGCAGAGTGCCACCGTGCAGCACGAGCTGACAGCGTCCCAGCGGCTGTGCAGGCAGCAGCAGGACGCAGTGTGTAAGGGACGTCAGTGCCAGGCCCACACCCAGCAGCTGGCACTGATAGGATGCACGGGGACGAGCCCAGGTGCAGCCAGGTGTGGAGAGAGCAGGGAGGGAGCAGGACTCAGATGTGCGTGATTTCCCCCCCTCCTCATCCTTTGTTACGGGGCAGTGTGAAAATCTGCCTGCACAGCCCTGGGTTTGTCCCCACCTCACCTGTGTGAGGAGAGAGGGAAGAAGGTGAGAGGTAAAAACAGCCCTTTGTATCTGGGCTTCTGCAATGTGTTTGACTTTGCACCCTGTGACACTGATTTAAAAACAGTGCAGTTTTTAAATGACTCCAGAATGAGGAATAAAGGTAGGATTTCTGGCCACCGGGTTACTCAGGGCACCAGCGACTGGTGAAGGAGAACAGGGTCAGCTCTCTGGCACAGGTGGTGGAGGGGAGCTAGAAGTGATTTCCATCCTCTGCCGCTGCTGAAAGACAGACAGCAATGTTTCCAAATAGGGAGGATGCAGAAACGACTGCTGAAAGATCCCAGAATGAGCGACAGTGTCCTAAAGGATGGCAGCGGGGGACGGGAGCGTAGCTCTGTGTGCTTAGAGGGGTGCAGTTGTGGCACTTGTTGAAAGGTGAACGCGCCTGAACGCACATTTCAGCAATGGAGATAAAGGGAGAGCTCATAGCGGGAGGCTCAGACCACAGCTGCTCACAGCAGACAGTGGCTGATGGGAACTTGATGTCCTCTGTTCTCCCAGGTGTGCTGAATGTCTTCACTCTGTCCCCACCGCAGGATCTGCCTCCCCCCTCAATGTCCCTCATTTAAGGCACTGACAGCTTTTGCTTTTCTCCCCGCGCTGCTCCCCAGGGCACAGTGCTCACAGTGCTTTACTTTTCAGCGTTTCTGCTGCCATTAAGAAGAGTCTGGCGCCAGGTCCTCCCTCTCTGCTGGCACAGCACACGTTTTTGCCAAGTGGCATTTCCTGGGCTTACCAACAGGCAGAGAACAACAAAAGAAAAGAAAAGAAAAAAAAAAAAAAAGAGAAAACCTGCTTTCCCAGAAATGTCTCCTTTTATTAAATCACATCTTAAAACCTAGAAACATTCACGTCATTGAAACCTGCTTATCATACACAAAGCAGCAGATGGGCTCAGAGGAACTGCGGGCTCCTGCATGGCACAGGGCTGCCCCCAGCACAGAGCCAGCCTGCAGCCCAGCTGTGCTGACAGCTTCCTTCCTCCTCCCCAAGGAGCAGCCTGCTGGTGTGGGGCCTGCTGAGCTCAGAGGTGGCAAGCTCCATTTTCCAGACTCTCCCTTCAGACGGCTTTTGCCTGCAGCCAGCACAGCCCTCCGTCCTGGGGCTGACATCTCCAACTCCGACCAGCTGAGCAAAGGAACTGGAAATGAGAACTGCTGTCTGAACTCTGCAGAAATAGTTGAGATATTAAAAGCACGCTGACCTCCCAGGCCTGCAAGCACGGTTTTTGCTGCGGCTGTTGCTTGGCATCACAGCTGAAGTCGCCCAGTTCCAGGAATAGAGTTGTTACAGAACAACAGGAAGCACACAGCGGAAAATCCGCGGCCCCTTCGTGCTCACTCAGGTGCAATTCCAGGGCATTTCCCTGCAGTGTGGCACACATTGGCTCACTTGGTTCCTTCAGCCCTGCCCAGCTCAAAGCCCAATCAAAGAAGTCTCATTTGGCAAGCAGTGTCAGGAGGGAGCCCAGGGGCACGGCCTGCACTGTGAGCAGCATCCCATGCAGAGCTCCTCCCCCTGCTGTGTGTCTGAGATGGCTTTAGGGCATTTCAGAAGTCAGGGTAAGGATTTCTGTGCCGTACTCGAATTCCCAGCTCTGCACCAGCACGACTTTTGATTGGAGCCCCCACAATCCAACAGCCCCCCACTCTCCCTTGAAGCTTTCTGAGTACCACCTGTGTGGACCTGTGCTGTCCTGAGCCAGCATGGAGCCAGCAAACATCCCCACACCAACAGCCCTCTCAGCACTGCTGCAGTCCCATTCCCCAGGTAAGGATCATCCCTGCATCCAGCTCATCACACCTACACAAAACCATGGGAAGATGACTGTCAGACACACAAAAACCAACGACAGCAGAGGCAGGGAGGTGCTGTGCTGGCAGCTTATTGCTGTACAGCTGTTGCTGTATTGCAGCTCACACGATGGGCTGTGCTGTTAGAAGGGTGCACACACAGCTCTGCTGCTGCCATCACCATCAGCTGGTCAGGATGCAGAGAGCACAGTGCCCATTAACTGAGCACTGCTGCCTGACCATCACTGCATCACAAGAGCCTAGATGCTTTCTATACGTCCTTACGTATTTCAGTTTTAAGGATGCTCTAAAATCAGTACCATAATGTGAAAAATTACAAGCTTGTGTTAGTTCTTCGAGATGTACTCAATAGTTGTGGAAAAAATGCAACTTATCTCCAGAGAATATAAGATATGGATAAGGTATGGACTTTAATGTCCTTAATTTTATTACTTCCAGTCTTCCAGGTTTTCCATGCTGATGGGAAGTACGTTGGACTGAATTTATCTTTGAATCAAAGCAGCTGCCAGTTCCTATTGCTGGGAGTTTAGACAGACAGCCAACCCTGCTATCCTACTGCCCTGCTGATTGCCCAGCACAATTACCCCGGATAACAGCAATCACTGCCAGCTTCACAGCCATTAAACCACCCATGTACTCACTCAACTCCAGTAAACACAGTTAGCAGCAGGCTGATTTCTCATCAAAATCATAACAGTTTCCAGTTGACTTTGGCTTGCGTTTCCATGCCTGAGAAATAAAACACAGTCCCAGGAAAGATGCAGAAGGCTGTAGATGCTCTGTGATTGGTGGGACAAAACACAGATCACAAAGTACTCTATTTTTATAGATGGCTTAGAAGATGGCATTGCCAGTCGGTGTCCCCAGGGAGGATATCTGTGTGTCACCCTGCAGGAAGGTCTGTCTGCATCACCAGTTCCAGGGAACGTCAGGAAAATCAGCACAGAGTGACTCAGCTCAGCGTGTGGCTGCAGATCTGCTGCTTCCTGCTGCTGGCAGTGGGGCTGCACAGCACAACCCGGCACATCCTCTGCTGCATGGCAACCCGTGCCAATTGCCAAAGGCCCTGGAAGGATTACTTTTGAATTATAGTAGCATCGCATCCTGAGCCGAAGCAGCGTAGGTAATGTATGCATGTGTCACTCCTAAACTGGGTTAAATGGGGCGGCTGGTGGCAGGGGTTGGAGATTCATGGTTCTTGAGGTCCCTTCCAACCTGGGCCATTCTGTGGGTTGTGATGAGTTGAATGTTTATGCAGAGAGCAAGCAGGGCGAGTGTGCTGTGCACCTCCCAGCAGGGCCTGGGCTCAGGATGCCACCTGCAGCTCTCCCCGTGCTGGGGCTGCTCAACATCACTGCCTTCTGCTCTTCTGACCGCCCCAACTTGTGCTGCCTGGAGGCGATGAGGCAGTGCTTGCAGTCACCCTCAGCAGAGCACTGGCAAGAGGAACCCACAGCCACAGCTCACTGACACAGCAGGGTCCCGAAGCAGCAGCAGCTGTTTGCAAAGCAGACGTGTGCCAAGAGCTGGAGATGCAAACACAGCACAGAATGGTGACGTTGCCTCAAGAGGTGATGTGGAAGCACAGACAGACGTTTTGACCAGAAGCCTCTGGAGCAGGAAACCTGCGTGCAGCTCCAGACAAGTCCAGGCTGAGAAACGAGAGACAAATTCATTTCCGGAGTGCTCTCAGCAAAGCAGCACTGCTGGGAGGCAGGCAGAGCTCCCCACGGGCATGGGATGAGCTCAGGGAGCTCCTGAGGTGCTTGGAGGTGGAGGGAATGGGAATGCACAGTACACACAGCAGGGCCAGGACGGGCTGTTTGCCTTCTGCAGTCAGATGTTTCTCTGGAGCTACACAGACTGGTATGATTTTATTGGTTTAATGCAATAGAAGGGCTGGTCTGCTAATTCATTTGTTTCCCATCTCAGGCTTGGAGGTCAGTTGCAAAGGAAGCTGGCAGCTGCAGTGTGAGGAGAGATGCAAAAAGCTGTAACAGTTTTCTGACTTTATCTGTCCCTTAGGGCACCAATTTTTCTTCCTTCTCTTCCCTCCCAGCCAATAGAGAAGAGAAAAGCCTCTCTAGGAAGCCTGTACGGGACAAGTGCTACAACCAAAGAGATGGGCATCCCCAGCTTCTGGAGCAAGGTGACCGAGCTGCCAGGGCTGCTCCCAGTCTGGGCCCAGCAGAGCTCTCTACTGGCATTCCTCAGTAAGGAGGGTAAGTAAAGGGTTGGAGTCACAACCTACAGTGCCCCACAGCAAGGAGGGCACAAACTCCCACACTTTGCTGAGGTGCACCCATGTAGCTATCCCAATTCATCCCACTTCTCTCCGGGTTAACCAGGACTTTGACAGCACGTCACTGTGTCACACGTTCCTCCTGCCCCCACTAAGAGCAAATCCAACCCTTGGAGCTGCAGGAACAGCAGGAAGCAGAATGCCCATGCTGGGGCAGAGCCCAAAGCACAGCGCAGCAGAAGGGCTGCAAATCCCCTGGGAGAGCAGGGTAACGTGGGCACAACCGTGCTGCAAACTGCTCCCCAGGATCCCCTTTCTTACGTGGCAGCTCCAACTCAGACAGCAGTTACTGTGTGTGAGCAAAGCAGTGTCATGGCTTCAGACAGACACATCCCAGCAGCTCAGTTCAAAGCTGGAGGAAGCACAGAGAGGCCTTGGGAAGGACAGACTGCACTCGGCTCCGACAGCAACATGCGCACAGGTCGTCCTGTGCAGGCTGGTCCAGCTGAGGAGTCACAGGCTCTATTTGTAATGCTTACACTTTGTTTTTCACCCTATCCTCTGCTGATTCCTTTTTTCCCCAACAGCCGCTTACAAAATTCAAGAGGTTAAAAGGGGAAGAATTCCTTTTTTTTTCCCATCTAAACAGTCGACACTTCAATGACGCTATTTGCACAGAAAACATCAACACTCTATTGTCTCCTGGTCACAGCTTTGAGAGTGTTTCATCTCTTGAGTCAAAAGAATGCTACAACAGAAATAATACGCTCATGTCATAAACATCACAAACTATGTTGATTATAGATCTTTGGAAAAGAGAGGAACGAGTCACTGTTGGTCATTACACTGCACCACAGTCAGCTGCACCAGAACAGCGCGTGCTGTTTGTTCCAACACACATCTTCCTACAGAGGTTATGCAAGAAACACCTTTCTACTTTGCAACCCGAGTTCCACAAGTGGTCAATGCTAATAGATACACAATAATTGTACAGACAAATCACTGAAGTGGATACAGAAATGGGCCCTTTCCCAGATAGAGAAGGTTTTCAATAGTTCCACAATGCTACATCCATGCTACCAAGTTCACCGAATTGGGATTTCACTTTAGAAAAGAAAGAGGAAGAACAAGTTGTCTGTCTCCAGTTAGGAGCAATAACCATAGGAGGCAAAAGGGTCACAAAGGGAGAGTTTTGGATCAGCATTTTAATCCTGCCACGACCACGCTCTAAATAACACGTGACTTTGCTTTCTGAACCTGTGGCTCCCACCTCTCACAAGCACAGCTGGTGGAGGCTACCAGGCTAAGTAGCAGACAATTGGCATCCATGTGGGTTTTGGTTTCAGATCAGGAATTTTCTGCCAAAAATCACAGCCTGTCCCCATCACTGCAGGGCTGGAAACACAGCTGGCCCAGGGACTGGAGCCCAGCAGGCAGAGAAGCACCTCTGAGCTGTTTGGTTCAACGCACTGCCTTCATGGCTCCAATCTCTCCCTCTCTCCAACTATTCCTCCCTTTACTTACCATATGTACATTCTTTCTTCAAAGGTTTTGCTCTGAAACTGCTCTAAATGTACAGGGTTCAGCAGTTCCAGCCAGCAGCCTGCCCCAGGATTACACCACACACGTCACAGAGGGAAGGAGTACTCTACAGATCAGAACAACTACTGCTTTTTGCAAGTATTTAAAGCAAGGTTTGTACATATATTTGCCATCACGTCACAATCTGATAATTTAGGTCCCAGGAAATCAGGAAAACAATCCCTCCCTGTTCACCTCCAGTACATTTTACTCATAGAAGAAATGGAGTGTATCACCCCCCAGGAGAGCTGGTGACCTGCACGGACTGCAAGTGGCATTGAGTTGTCCTCTGGAGAGCTGCAGAAGGAGAAAACCAAACCAAACCCCTCCCAAAACAAAAATCAGTCCCTGTGCTAAAGGAACAAAAAGTGAATCTATTCCAAACTACACCCTCAAATATCAAGTACAAATCTGGGCTCTCAAACCACAGCAACAAAGCCCTGTGTTTGCTTTGTCCTTCACAGGAAGGGATGTGGGCAGCTCTGCCCAACAAACAGGTCTTTCTAGCACTGGAAAAAAGGAGATCTACGCACAAACAACTCGCAATCAAGTGAACTTTGGGAAGATTCAATCTCATGCTACAAACCCATGCTGAACTCTTCAGGAAGCGTTTCTTCCAAACGCCTCAGCAAACAGCCTCCTTGGAGGGCTTCTGATGGTCTGAACCCTCACTGCTCGACACAGCAGCCCAGAAAGAGAACTCATCTCTCAACACATTGCAAAACACTGGCATGAACAATTACCATGGCTATTAATTTCTAATTCATTTTTATATCATAGTGAACCTGGCCAAGGCTTCCCAGCCAAGTACCGTATTTCTAACCTAAAATATGTCAGCAAAACTAAAGTCACATAGTTTTGCAAGCAGCAAAATAGAAAGTAACAAAGTTGTGTCTAACTGGAGGAGAAATATACATTCGTGAGAGCACATACAATTTGTGCAACACAGCTACTCTGAAAGTAATGAACCAAACCAGATTAATCAATGCAGCAGACATGCAGGGTCTGCTAGGTTACGTTAAAACCATGTTTGCTGGTGATTAAATATGTCTACAGAAGATATATTACCATTCTGAATATATTTTCAAGCAGACCAAAAATACCTCATCTATTGGTTACTGGTGTGTTATTTTTAACTAATTAAATATCAGGAGGAGTTTCACCCTCCTCTCTATAAAAATTGCACTTATTTTCTATTAAACAAAACCAAAAAAAGTTAGACTTCAATTCTATATTCCAGTATATTCACATTGAAACTGGATCGTCTTGATGTCAGCCTGCAGGAGTAGGTGTAGCAGTCCTTGCTCTCCAAAATCCCCAGGCACAGAAGGTCCCATGAGTACAAAACCTTCCTTCCTCTGTGCTCTGGTCACTTCTTCATTGTAGTGCATGGGTAATTTATTTTTATTTTTTGTAAGAAAACCTGAGCTTTGAAAGTCTTTAAAAGGACCTGGAATCAAATCTGGCCCATTCTGACCCAAAACAGCTCAGTTCTGCAAGGAACTCCATCCTGTCCTCACTTCACACAGCTCCTCCTGAGACACCACGGCTCTGACCCGAGGCCAGCGAGGTGTCAAACCCCTTCCCCTCCAGTCTCTCTTGACCCAGGAGACTTTCTTCCCGATCCACTTCCGAGGGCTCCTTCTTCCCTCCCTTTAGCACTGCAGCCTCCTGTAGGGCTCCCTGTGCCAATAAAAGAGTCTCTCTGCAATAAGCATGACTTCTTAGACACTGGTGATCAACAACTTCTTGCAAAGTCTTCTCCAGATCATAAAATGTCATCGTAATCCAATAGTTTAGAGTGCTGGCGGGTCTTCCAGAGGCGGTAAAGGCGGAAGTCAAAGTAAGTCTCAATCATTTGCTTACCTAGAGATGAAGCAGAGGGTTGGGTTACACACTGAAGCAAGACAGAGAAACAAGATGGACCGAAAGCAAAACAAAACAATGGACAGGGGCACAGGAGAACCTGCCAGCATGTCTCTGACATGTAGCATGTACCCCAGGGCATGTGAAGGCACCCATGAGAAGCAAGCACCTTTTTAGACATCCTCAGACCCTGAAAGGCTCCTTATAATCCCCTGGCAAGGTCGGTCTATGGAGGTGGGAACTGAACACAGTATGTGACTCCAGACTTGGAACCTCCGCACTGACTGCAGAAAGTGGAGTACCAGACAATGGCTCCAACAGGCTGCACCAGGCAGCGCCACACTGAGAGTTTAGACTGTTACACATCAAGAGTCAACCTGCTGTAAAAACTGGGGGGAATCAATGAAATAATTAACATAGCAAATTCAAAACAAAAACTGTGGGTTTGGGGGGAAAATAAATGTTTACAGGCTGTCCCTGTCCTGCAGAGCTCTCTCTGCTCACAGCAATAGGCTCAACAGGACACACTGATGTAAGTTCTGCAACTTGGACTGGAGGTGGGCTCTCGTGAGGTGGTTGCAGGCTAAGCACTGCACTCAGGGCCACTGCTGGACACAGCAAGTGCTATTGGAAAACACAAGGCACAAACAACCCTGGGCTCAGGGCCCAAGGAAGAGATTTTCGCTTTTGAGGCCTGATTAAGATTAGTTTCAGATGACTTTGAGAAGGATTACAGGGGTTACACTCTTCGTGCGTCCCAGACTGATCAACAGGATAAATTCAGACACAGTCTTCAGCCCAGCCCCCTGGATGATCAGCTGCTCAAGTACACACACATAGTCCACTGCCTTGCCTGTTGGGCTGTGCAGAAACCCAGGAATTTCCCTGCAAGTTGCTTCCTGTCACACATGTACAGGCGTGTTTGCTTGGGTTCTGTGCAACCAAACCCTGGCAGGACATGCACAGTGAATGCTGCACAGCACTGATGTGCTCAGCTCCTGTACACTACTGCATGTGTACGAGGGAGTTAAGAATAAGCCAGCAGCATCAATGCCAGCTGTGAGCAGCACAGGAAGTACCCAAGAGCTTACAGCCTAGTGCTGTGTGTCTTTATCTTCCAAAAGAAGAAAGTACTGAGGGGTAAGGCAGAGATAGATTAACAAGGGCAACTTCAGAATGTCATTTGTGAAACTGCACCCATAAATGTGTAGACGAAAGAACAGGAAAAAATCCACAGTGCCTTGAAATAACTTGAGCTATGGGGGGAAAAAAAAAAAAAGAAAGCAAAGTGGGCTGACATGTAGAATGGCTGCAATGGGCTTCATCCAAATCATCTGCTACTGAGACAACCTGCTTGGTGCCAGTGGCTTGAGTCCTCTGGAGAAGAAACCCTTTGAGTTCTGCTCCTATGTATCCCATGGACTCCACACACCCCAGTAAAATGATGAATCTCCCAAATTCAGCCTTGAGACCTGCTTATTTTTTAGGCTATTTGTCACTTCCAGTGGTTCTGCAGATTCAGGCACAACAAGCAGGACAGCTAAATTGTGAATAAGGGGGAATTGTATAGGGAAAGCTAGGTCCAGCAAATGAGCTACACTGAAGACGATTAAAAGCAGAAGGATGATGGTAAGGCTTAAGGGAGCTCAAAACTGCTTTTTTATGAAGATGCCCATGGAAGGCAGTAGGCTGATCTGAAAGATATGGTTCTTTGCACAGAAAAGAAATTACCTTGAGCTGATAGTTCAAGTGGAGACTCAAAGGCAACCCTATAAGGATTCATTAAGTTTTTCAGATTCTGAAATAGCTGAAAAGAAAACATACGAAAAGTTAGGAGCTGAAAACAAAGATGAACTATAGGACATCCAGAATTGCTCATCCTTCACCCCGACCTCTAGGAAACAATCCACTACATGTCCTTTAAATAAATATCCAATTCAGCAGTAAATAAATCAAATGCTTTGACTGACTGTTCTCCTAGAGGCTGCAGCACCTGTCTGTTCCTGCATACCACTAACCATTCCCCCTCTGCCCTCTGGGAGTGGCACAATCCATAGGATAGTTCAGCCACTAACAGCCCCTGGTGGGATAGGATGCAGCATGTTCCACCCAGCAGAAGAGGATTTGACAGCACAGTGTGTCTGCTGCCTCCCTGGGCTTGGTGCTACTCAGCAGTCCTTCCCAGAGAAGTAACCCACAAAACTCTTACCTTCTCCCCATTGGGGTTTCCAAGAACATAGCAGCCCATGATGTGAATAATATTTGGTTCAGGATTGATTTTACTCATCAGACGGCTCAACCTCTTCCAGAAGCTGGAAGAAATAAAAGAGATCATTTAGAAATTGGTTTCCTCAGGGGGATGCGTGAGCACATGCAGCTCAGGAAAGGCCTGAAGCTCACAGCCTGAGCAGCAAGCTGCCCAGGAAGAGATGGAGGGTCTGAGACAAGGAGGAGCAGGGGCAGAGCCTGCTTCTCAGCCTCAAGCCATGTGGTAGGGAAGGAGGAGCTGCTCAATGAGACAAGGGAGCTCCAAGGTGAAGAAAAAGGAGCAAAATCCACCTGGAGTGTTTTTAAATCCACTTTACTTTTCTCACTACTGACTAGCATGCTGTACCTGAGGGACATGAGATACAGTGACCTTCCTTGCACGAGGATTAGAGCAGACAGGTGGGCTCTAAAGCCCAGCAGCTCCTCTGTGATGGCTGTGATCAGATGTTTGTTTGCAGTATAAGCTCTTCTCAGGACTGCCTCCCAGCCATGCAGAGGTGGGATGGAGACATTCACTTCCAAACACCCTTTCAGCTGCATGTCCACAGTTTTCTGGAGGCTCTTGAATTACCAACATCAGATCTGCTATGCCCCCAGTGCATTCAGAAGCACTTGTGCACGTGCCTTTTATTGATGGTGTTTGTGCCAGAGCATGAGAACACTGAACAGATGTTGATTTTAATACTCAGCTCTCATGCCAACAATTTGTTGTGTAGGAACAGGTTGGTATACAAGCTCACCCCCACAACGAAGCACTGCTAGACAAATTACATTTGAGCCAGCACAAAGAAGCAGGCAGCAAAACAGGCAAAGCTTAACTCTGCAAGGAAAAGCAAAATTGCCTCAGCAATGCACTGGACTTTGAGCAGGCTTTGCAGAGACAAATTCCACTTCCCTTTGCATTTAGAAGGGCAGTTATCAGAGACAGCTGTGGGGGAATAGCTTGGATTTCTGCCACTGGTCACCTGCTAAGAAAAGCTACCTCAGCTACTTCCAAGCCCCAAAGGCATGAAGTGCATGTTCTGGTTTCTAGTCAGCAAAGCCTTTGTTAAGAAAGGAAATGCCTTTTTCTCTTTTGATAATCTCTAGTCCAGAGACATACCATAGAGCAGATAAGAGCATAAGTCTTCTGGTGACCTGACCCAAAGCTGCACCAGCCCTGGGTTGAGCTTGGTTCTGTCATCTTTCCAACTCTCCCCCACGGAGTTGTAAGCTGCTATTTAATTCCCTCTCTGCCTCATCCGCCCCAGGCTAAACCATCCCAGCAACCTCTGCCTCTCCTTCTAGACCATGTGCTACAAACACAGAGCAAACAGAGCAGAAAAACGCTATGTGACTCTAGAACATAACACAGTCACTTACAGGATCATATCTTCCTCCTTCTCCACTTTGGCGAAAGTGGCAACTTTGTTCTTTAACAAGTATAAGTGACCTGGACCCCCCTGCAAGACAGAGATGGACAAATGCAAAACACGGGAAGAAGCAAACCCTGGAGATATTCCTTGTTCAGTGCAGCCATACCCAGCAGGGCCACAAGGGAGCAGAATGGACCCGCCAGGCTGGCACAGCTGCTACAGCCTTCAAAGGAGATACCATAGGCACTAACTCAGAACATTTTCACAGACAGAGTACGTTGGGGGTTGGATTATCCATTTGTTAATGTTATTATGCCCACCTCGCTCTAGAAAGATGTAGTAATAAGAGGAAAAAAAACCCAACACCCATCACTGTGGGTGGCTGGAGAACAATAGTGAAGAAAAGAAAGCCCCTTTCATTGGGGTGTGTTAGGGGAGTTGCTGTGGTAGGCAGAAAGAAGCTGAGCACAGCAGGAGAAGCAGGCAAGATGTCACTGTAGAAGAACTGGAATTTAGCAGTAACAAGCATAAAAAGATTGAATACAACATCAGGAAAATTAAGAGTTGCAGTCTTCAGGTCACTGGGCTGCAAATGCTACTGCTCTGCAGCACGAGGCACGTATCATACAATTCTTAGAGTTGGAAGGGACTTTTAAAGGTCATTTAGTCCAACTCCCCTGGAATAGGAAGTTAGGCTCACTTCCTCACTTCTCCTTTCAAGGTTCCCTGCACAGCTGCTGGGGCAGCACAGAGCTGAAGCTCACAGGAGAAGAGACTCGGGAAGGAAATCCCCACCAGGCCCCAGATACAGCAGTGCCCCAGTCTGTCCCAGGCACTGCTCCCTCTGCCTGCAGCTTCACCCCTCTCCCTCCTCTGGGACTCCAGGCTGTGCCACCTGCTGGTCGGATCTGTGACATCCTTCACTTGTCAGCGTCACTCTGGAGCTGTACAAAAACTTACAGCTATCGTATCAGACATACTCCTTCCTTTCTCCAAAAATCTCTTTCTGGAGGCTTCGCTAATGCAAGTTTGCTTAGGTTTCCTTGAAAGCAGCTGAAAAGCAACCCAGCTCTGGAGCTGGCTACAGTAAGTCAAACGTTATTTGCTGCTGTCACAGCAACTTGTGATGGCTTGCTGTCTGGGCAAAGGAGAAGTGAAAGCTGCATGCATCTACCCTAACAGAACCTAACGTTGGAATATCGGTTCCTCCAAGTACTTTTCCCTATAGAAAAAGAGGAATTTGTGACAAACCACTCCCACTCTTAACAACTTTCATTACCTGGCAAAATATCAGCATCTTCCAGATTTTGCAGCCTTTCCGATAAATGTTAAGCTTCTTCTCTATTTCCTCTGGAAAAAACATTTTGGGAAAGATGAGCCATGGAGGAAGTGAAAAATGAACCTTGCAAAATCATTTTTTCTTCTCAGTAGAGTTCAGTCTTGAAGGCCAAACTGTAAAAGGTGCTCAGCATGCATTTTCAATAATGTCAGAGCAAATCCTCACCTTTAATGCTGTGGAAAATGAGAAACCACAACCCATCACAGGGCAGGCAAGGTACAGAGCAGCACCAGCTACTGCTCTCTACTGACTACTTTGCTGTACCAGACCCAGCTGTCCTGAGCCCCTGCTCACCTAAAAGGGTACCTCACAACAGCATCTTTGCTGCCCTGTGCTTCAAGCTTCTCCTTCATAATCTGTGACCTTAGCACAGAAAACTGCCTACAGAAGTGAAGTTTTATTATGGCAGCAAATCCAATAGCACCACACTGAGCATCAGGTATCATTGGGGTGATAAAAACACCTTTGTACGTGGTAGCTGAGGTGCAGGGCAAAGTGACTTAACATACTGATCAGACACATTTGCAGCAGGCAGGACTTAAGATAAAGAAATAGCGCTCAGCATACCTAGGATGTCATCAAAGGTGGCGTGTTCATGGTCCTGGAAAGCGAAAAGAAGCAGATGTATCAAGGTTTGCTGCCATTACACCAGCTTCCATAACATTTCTCAGGTCTTCATTATCACACAGTCATATTCCCAGACAAACATACTCTTCAGCATGATTTAACCCACTGGTGGCTTCTAGTTGCATTGCAGGAATTATCACCCTACAGCACACCTCAGCAAAGAAGCTGAAGACCAAATAGTCCATTGGAAGTCAACTTCATCTAAAGACTTGGAGATGAAACCCACAGACCAGCCCAAAGCATACACAATCAGACACTGTCAATGTCATCAACGAGTATTTGCCTCTTAGCCCACACTGTGTATCCAACTGATGGTATTACACACATCCAGGTTGGCTAACAAATGGCCAACACTCCTAACCCATCTGCCTTTGGCATAGCAGGGTCACCAGTACAGCTGTACAGCTCTTAGTGGAAGGGAGGCAGCAGAGCTAAACCCCTGGCAGCACTGTCTGCTGCACAGAGACTGAATTTTCTGGGCTGTCAGTCTAACCCTTCCCTTTCAAATTAAATGAATGTGAAGTGAATAGGAAAAAGAGACCCACGACTCCCTGCTGGTGCTTTAGACATTGTTCAGGCAAGACTCCTAGTGAAAATCAAACTTAAATTCACGGCTGACAGGGAAGCACCACTGCACAGAGGGAAGTGGTCCACTGTAATGCTCTGAGGTCTTACATTGCCTAAGGATGAGCAGAAACACAAGTCTTGAGCATGGTAACATGAAGTTCCATTCAGGTCTGTCTTGGCTTCCCTCGCTCGTCTTCCCCCACTGCCTGGCTGTGCCTACATAGTCTGATATCCCACATACACAGCTTTCACCCCACCTTGCTCTTCCACTTTGATTTCAGCCTCCTCAGAAGCTGCGCCAAATCCCAAACCTGGGTCCAGCACATACCCAGCCCTTTCCTTTCAGCTTTTCTAAGTCACAATCGTGTTTCAGAATCACTGTAATAGGGACAAAGAAAATAAATCTGTGTGGAGCCAGCTTCCACCTTCCCGGGCAGAGCAGAAGCGATATACTCACATAGAGAATGGGGATGATGGAGGGATCGTCCCTGCGGATAATTGTTGGGACATATTCAGCTTTGGGCACCTTGGAAGAAATGAGCTGTAAAGAAAAAAAAAAAAGAATTGCAAGAGGACAAGGAGAGGCCAATAGAGAGTTCAGAAGCACAAAGGCTGTGCTAACAGTTCAGTTGCCCCTCCTAGGTGTTATCCAAACCAGAAGATAATCCAGACTATCTGCATTGCTGTGGAAGGTCCTCCAAGCTTTTGGTCCACTTCAGAGCATCCTCAGGCCTGTGAAGTACTCCCAGGCATCACAGTTCCCCCAGCCCTCAGCAACTGAGTGCACAGCTCTGTCCAGTAGTAGGACTGAATCCGAGATGACGGCTTGTAAAGAGGAGATAGGTGGGCACAGAGGATGCAGCTTCTTGCAGACCAGCAAGATTGGCTGTAGCCCAGTAAAGATCACTGCTGTACAGCCTTCCCTGTGTGAAGTTTTATGCTTTTGGCTGGAGAGGACTGTTCAAATTCATGTGCTCAGTGGGCCAGAGGTGGGATGGCTGCGTGCCTGAGCCAGGACCAGCCAGAGCTGAGCACAGCAGTGGCCAAGGGATAAGATGACATAAGGCACACGCAGCCATAGGATGTCAGGCAGATGCAGGCTGCTTGGCAGCTCTGGATGAAGTGTTCAGCCAGCTCGTTAAGAGCCTAACTGGGCAGGCCTGTCATTAGCACAAGCCAAACTGAGATGGAGATGCAGTTGATTTGGCTGTGCTGTGATTCCAGGCACTTCTGTTCAAGGCTGTGAGAGCAGAGCAAGCACTGATGTCCAGAGATGGACAGTCCTCTTGTTCACCCTGCAAATCCTAAACTTAGCAGCTGTCAGAAGACAGACAGAGCCCAAACAGATAAAGGTACCCTGCTTGGAAACACTCACCATTATTTTTGGTGGAATAAAGTCTTCTCCATCACACGCCATGGCTTCAAGCTCCTTTTCTGCTTCCCAGTTCAAGTCAAAGTCACCATCCAAAGTGCCACAGGAATCCTGAAGGTCATGGCCTGTGAGAACACAGCGTGCATCACAAGGGCAGAACAGCTTGCCTTCTCCACTCAGCCCTGTCTGGTAGCCACTTCACAAGAAGCATCACAAGCCATGAGACTTGTGCCCTCCTTCCTTCCAACACAGTGACAGACACCACACGTCGGGGCTGGCATCTCTAAACAGACAAACTCTTGACAAACGACGAGTGCACACACAGAGTCTGATACCACACATCACATAACATTTCATCAGTCTCACAAGTGTAAGCTTTCAGATGCTAATTCACAACAGTCACCCTGTCATTTCTGAAATGGGGAAGGAGATGGAATGCAGACAGACTCTCTACACTTTAACACTGCCAAGCTGATGAGCAAAAGTCTCCAAAGACTCCAAAACTGGTCTCCTTGTAATAGTTACTGGTCCGACTATGTTTTCTCTTATACTGTATAAGTATAGTGCTTATACAGAAACTCTGCCTTCTTAGTCAAATTGATCCTGGCAGAGAATCCTAGAGCGCGAGGACGGCCGTAGCAAACACAGTAGTATTTCCACAGTAGACTTGAATTTGCTCTCCAAATTCACCTTACCTGTTGGCCTTCAATGCCTCCTGGGGAAAAAAAACATCTGGAAGGAATATAATTGACCGTTAAATGTTAAAAATAAAGATGGTTCCCTTAAGCCAGGGAGTGAGGAAAGAGAACAGAGGTGCCTCCACTTGTGCCTTTTGGGATGTCCAAGTGTCATTGGACAGTGCTGGAGCACCAAACACATCTGTCTGAACCATGTCTTTTCCATTCGCTTCTGAGTTAGCTGAGGGAGCAGGGAAGAATCAAACTGCAAAGGAACCATCGGGTCATGTTTTGAACCTGGCCTTTCGTACATCTCCCCCTGCAACCTGGCACGATGTGTGATCTCCAGCCAGGAGGGCTGGACCTCATGCTTACCTGAAAGGTCAGTTGATTTCAGTAGTGAAGTTTATGTAATGAATACAACCCATGTCAGCATGGGCAAACTCATAACCGTTAAGACCCTTGCCTGCAGGATTTCAAATAAAAATTGGGTGAAACAGTCATTCTCTTTACAAAAAAAAAAAAGACAGTGGGAAGATGCTGGCATTTTCCTTTTGTAAATTATCACAACAGCACCTGGGTCCCCACAAGTGGAACACTGTAGCATTACTGAGGATTTCCAGAGGAATTCCTGGCAGCCCAAAGATCAGATTGCCCCAAGCTATCATCTGTGCAGCCTGCACAGATAGGAAATCAAAGTTATGTTTCACGAAGCACTGCAGCTGTGCTCCAAATTATTCTAGGCTACAGAAGAGCTCAGAAGGGGCTCTTGCACAGAAGACTGTGAAGGTTTGCCCCTCTATGGTGAATGAAACCTTGGACCGGTGTGCTTGCAAGTAGGGTGTTGCCCCCAAGCAAACAAGGGATGGTGGGAACAGAGAGCCATAAGAAAGCTGTACCACTGGGTGTCCTTTGGCTGCTGCAGAAAAACATGAGGATAGATGTGCTTGTGCTCTACCTGTAAATATAGGTACACACAGATGACCAGGTGCATATACCCAGAGTATTATCTGCTCAGATCTCATGGAACTAAAAGGATAACAAATGGGACAAAAAGGAACAGAGAAGTTACTCCAGTGGGACTCCAGTCAACACCTCAGCTGGAGGGTTTGGCCACAGGAGGAAGCTCAAAGGACTCAGAACTCACTTTCTCGAGAGTCATGGAAGGAATCAGCTTTGATGGGAGTCGGGTCACTCCAGGACCTGCTGAAGCTCCTCTCACGCCGTTCGGCAAATGCTAGGATAAAACCAAAGCACGACATTAACAGACTCCAAAGCCACCTCGGTTGCTGCCAGCAAAACAAAACATCCAGTAGATTTCCACCAAAGCTACACATCACGATCTCCCCTGTGCTTGTTCTTCCACTTGCCAACCGTGAGTCCACTCCACACAGCAAACAAGGCTCTGTCTTCCAGACAGCAGCAGCAGAAGTGCCCACTTTCTGACCTGAGCCATTGCACGGTATGTAACTCAGAAAAAAGAGAACACTCGATGGTCACTCCTTAAATGTGCACTGCTCAAACCTCAATTTCATCAGGGCGATTCCAATATCCCAGTGTAAATGCTCTGACTCAAAAGCCTTCACAAGAAAGTGCACACACAACAGCTAATGACACCTGTAACTAGAGGAAGGCAGCTGTCCAGTCATTTCTCCCTTCTCATGTGTTAGGATGTTCTCTTCTTGTTCTGTTCCATCAGAGAAGGGGCCTTTAGAAAGCTCATGCTTTCCAAATTTTCTGGCAGAAGAAGAAATACTTCAGTTTTTGTTCACCTGCTGTGGTATGAGCATTTTTCACAACCCCACTTTTGTTTTTTGGAATAGATACATATATTTTTTTCTTTCTTCAAGGGCCATTTGTACTGGCATTTCCCAAGTGGAACCCAGGCAGCTCGGCCCAGCTGACTGCCCTGCAGGCAGATTTGAGAATCACCAACCATAATGTCTAACTTGGCAATTCCCTGGGAGAGCCATCACATCTAGATTAACAGCCACTTAGGGCCCCTAACGCTTATTTCTAGTAGCAGACAGATCAAGCTCACTGCAGTAAATGCAGTAACAGCATCTCACATCAGCAACACAGGAAATCAGGGCAGATCTGCATGACAAGAGCAGAGATAGAGCCTGTCCTCTGCTGCAGCGCGTCCAAGTGCAAAGGTCCAGGGAAACAAATCACATGGAAGTTCTTCAGGTAATTTCCATCCTCAGCTTTCATTTAAACAACACATGTAGCTACTGAGCACGTGGAGAAAGCTTTGAAAACATGACCCGAGAGTTACCAAGGCAGAGAGGCACGCCTGAACTTACAGACAGCTCTAGGTGAAGGTGAGCCCTTTTCATTTCAGGCAGTGCTAACTCAGATGCCAATAAAGACACTTTAAGAAGCAATGCTGTTTGCTGACTACTTCCCACAGCATATCAGAATGGAGAGGAAATTCAACTCAAATTCAACCCAGCAACACTTTTGCTGTGGGCAGTCTGTACGTGACACCTGGCCAGGCGGTGGCGAGAACACGCTGTTTCCTCTTCTGGAACAATTCTCAGCTCTCAGGTGCTGGCTACACCGCTCTCAGCCCATTCCACAGCTATGAGAGAACTGTCCCAGCCAAGTTATGGAGAAGCACTGCCTCCCTCATGGAAAGGAAACTGCTGTTTCCCAGGCCTAAGAGGTGATTTCTTCCCAAGTAAGGCATAATGCTCCCTTTATTTACCCCCTTGCTCCAATCTCTTTCCTGTTCTTCTTTCTCTCCACAGCCTTCCTCTCAGATCCCACTGGGCATCTCTCCCCAGGCCCTGCTGTGGGGAAGATATGGTGGTGGGACAGGGGAGGAAAAAAGAGAAAGCCACTGGTCCACACAGCACACAAAGCACCAACTGCCTCCAGGGAATCACAGCAGGTCCACACCTTCAGTGAGAAGCCAGGCAGCTCACTCTGCTTGACTTTCAGCTCTGGTTCTCCTTGCTGCTACACCATTGATCACCAGATACCATGCAGATGTGGGACAAGGATGCTGCAGCTCTTCCACACCTCATACAGAGGATGCAAATTTCCCATGGCCAATGCAGAGGGTCTTTGGAAACAGCTGAAAGGCTGCTTGCAGATATCCGTGTGTCTTGGAGACTTGCAACAACCTGGCCTTCTCTTCATAAGGTAAAATGGCATCGGCAGGTCAAATCCTTCCTCCAGCCCAATGCTAACTCCTTTCTATTGGCATCTGTGCACAACTTGGGCTCCCTGTAAACCACCAGCACAAACCCCAACTCCTCACAGCCACATCTGACAGGTTCTCACTTACTTTGTGCTTTAACCCTTCGGCTCCCCACCATGCGGAGGTGCTTCCGAAAATTCCTGTAAGAAAGTTCAAACAAAACCTCTGAGAAAGGTGATATGAAGCTGGGCCCAGGAGGACTGAAAAAGCTGGGAAGGAAAAAAATGGGAAGACAGTGCATTTCCTTCAAGGCATTCAAACGCTGGAGAGTGTTTGAACCTATGTTCAGGGTTATGTCTGTCAAGCATATGGTTGTTTCTGAATCCTCTTGGACCAGTGTTACAGAGCAAGTGAGGTTCTATCTGGCTGTCCCATTCTCATGGGCTGCTGTGGGCTTTGTGCCCACTCTCCTGTACATCAGGCACCTGTTCTGCAGCATCAGCTGCAGCCCATGCTAGCAACACTCCTTCTTCTCCTGGTTAGCAGCCAGAGCTTCTCCCCCCTCTCTTTCTGTCCACACGTGCTCCAGCAGGAAAGTGAGGTGCCCTGGGCTTTGCAGCATGCACACACAGCTTGTAGCTGTGCTCATTCCCAAACACATTCAGAGCAGCTGCTAAAATCCCAGCAGCACCATTAGCAACCACGCAGCCCATACTGCAAAATGCTGGGAAGTATTTTTTCAGCTTCTTCCTTCTTGGAAGCACTGCTCAGCAAGGCTGACTGCCCTCACCAGCCAGCTCTCTGTGGCTGCCTGTCTAATTATGTGCTTTCCTGCCCAGCACGACTTTAGTAGGGCTGCAGAGTTCTCAGTTCCAGAGGAAAGCCCACCCAAGGGCAAGCCTCAGAGACACAGCTGCATCTCACAGTCTGCATAAAGCAGGCCATCCTGGCAACTCCTGAGAGCATGTTCAGGGGAAAAGGAGGCTGAGGGGAGACCTTATTGCTCTCTTCCAATATCTGAAAGGTGCTTACAGTGAGAGCAGGGTTGGTCTCTTCTCACTGGTGACGGGACGAGGGGAAATGGCCTCAAGTTGAGTCAGGGTAGGTTTAGGTTGGATATTAGGAAATTCTTCTGTACTGAAAGGGTTGTTAAGCACTGCAATGGGCTGCCCAGGGAGGTGGTTGACTCACCATCCCTGGATGTGTTTAAAAACTGTTTGGATGTGGTGCTCAGGGACATGATTTAGCAGAGGGTTGATAGTTAGGTCGTGGTTGGACTCGACGATCTTTAAGGTCTTTTCCAACCTGAGTGATTCTATGAGGCAAAGCGACTCTTTCTACAGCCTCCTTAGAGCAAGGGACCTGTTTCCCTTGGTTTCTCATCACTCATCTAAACAGTAACTGAACAGGACAGGAACCAAACAGGACAGCAGAAAAGACACAGGGGATGAGCAGCAAGTGGACTAGAAAGGAAAGGCTCATCCCTCTGTGAACCCTGCTCAGGTGAGGTGACTTCAGCCTGCACTGCAGCCCCCGGGGGATGGCAGTGACCCACATACCTGCAGCCTGTATGGAGCAGGGAGTTCTAGATCCCCTCTGCCCCTCCAATGTACACCACAGACATCACACAACAGAGACCATTGTTGGTGAAAGAGGTGAAATGACAAGTTGTCTGCAGCACACACCAGTTAGTAGAATGAGTAAGGACATGGTACAACCATGCAGACACTTGAACAAACTGGCTGGACTGGGAGACACATTCAGCACTGACATTGAGGCATTCAGAGCAAGGCAGACACATCTACTCTGGTTTAGAAAGATCAACACAAGCACAGCTCTTGTGAGAGGAAGAGCCCATGCCATGGTCTGTACTGCCCCTTCTTTGGCTTCAGATCCCATGCAGCCATCAGCATCCAAACTCAGCAACTCAGGAAGGAAGACCTGAACTGCTCTGTATGCAAAGCTTTCAGCAGTGCACAGTAACTGATCACCAGGGCTGCTTTACAGCACGTTAGATTCAAATCAAATACAACGTTCTAAGGGGACCAGGGACATTCTTTAAACCAACAGGTCTTAAATGTGGTAAATCACCAGAATGAAGTCTTTATGGGCCACTGCAAAACTAAGCTTACACCAGACACCAAGCACTGAAGTTAACTGCCAAGGCCACCTTTACAACCTTCAGTGCTTTTGGCATTTTGAAATCCATTTTCTGGTTAAATGCTCAGTTCTCCCCTCCAGAGAGGAGCTTCTTCTGGAGGTGGGGTCCAGTTTGCCATAAAACAGTGCTGCTCCCAGCTGGTCCTCTCCCATTAGTGAGGGCTGAAGGCAGCTCTCTGGATACATCCTCTAAAAACAGCTGTGAGTGGCTGCAAGGAAAATTCAGAGGTAACCTCTGCATTAAGCATTTAGAGAATGGGACAAAGAACCTTTTTCTCTCCTCAGCTCTTCTAGACAAAGCACTTTGGAAAAGAGATCCACCTCAGTGTGGGCATCCTGCAGCCACATGGATCCTCAGGCCCCTCTGTGCTGACATGTTAGCATGAAAGCATGGGCTTTCACTGCCATTCAGGGATACCTGGGGAGCAGTAGCTTGCTCTGTGAACGGCCATAAACCTGCCCAGTCCTCTTGCCTGGCTCCTACAATTGCACCTTGAAAGCCCAGTGTTACATGATCCCTACTAAGATCTCTTCATCAAAATCCAGAAAGCAGCCCTGAAGTTACAATGGTAAAATCTTCTTATTACTCCCCATCCTGCAGCACCCCCTGCAGTGCTCCATCTCTTCTCTGAAGAGCAGCATCTTTGTTATCTCAGAGGTGAATGACAGCGCTGGGATTACTGCAGTACATCAGTGCCCTGCAGAACTCGGTTCATCAGACCACCAGGCGCTGCCCCCCTCAAGGCAGCACCTTGATGCCAGCAGGCAGCAGTGCCATACAAACTCAGCTCCCAGCACACCAGGCTGTGCGCTGCAGGGTTCTGCAATAACCACCGACCTTCCAAAACACCCAAGGCTGCAAAGGGCTGCGCAGCAGCACCTGAAACTGGGATAGTGCTGGGATCCTCCTCGCTCCTCAGCACTACCAGGCAATCCTTACACACCGCCGGGGTTGGCTGCCATGGCCCAGCCAAAGACCCACATCACCTTCATCAGCACTGCAGTCCCACCTCCTCCTACCACAAGGGCAATGCAGACAGCTCTGCTGTGCAATCCTTCCCGGGCTCCTCAGAGCAGTGTGTCCCATGAGGCCGGTGTGACAGCCACGGTGCTGAGCGCTCAGCATCTCCGAGGTGCACAGCTCCCACTCCTGCACCTGCAAGCTGTGTCAACAAGTCATTGTCTGACAGAGGCTCGTCTCTGTCTAACAAATTCTGAGAAACCTCTTTCCTTTTAAAGATACACTGTCTGTTTATTTACCCCGTCTTCAGTTTTGATTTACATTTGTCCTCATAATTGATGGGGAAAAAAAAAAAAAAAACCACCTACTGATAAAGAAAATATCTTCCTGGCAATTTCCCCATTGTGAAAATCTGATGTTTTTCTCCCACTTTGTTTTGAACAGTGCTGAAGTAATCAAGGCAGTTTTTAGCCAATGACACAAATGCTGTGTTATCCTTTCTCACAAGCTGCCAAAACACACAAGTCTTGGCCACATTTCAAACAACAGAGTTGTTCTGATTACCACAGTGACCAAGTGATGCGCCCTGCAAACCAGCAGAGGGAAACCAGGGCTCTTTGGTAATAACAGGATGAGGAACCAATCCTCTTTTCTCTCCTTTCTGTCCTTTCAACAACAGCAAGAAAAAAAAATAACCAACAAACAAAAGTAAAACAGGCTTCTGGACAATAGGTATATTTATTTTCCTCATGCCTCACATTTTGGAGGTACCTATGTAGGTGTAACAATAGCACATAAAGTTACTGTTCAGGTATTCAGGTTCAAACAAATTCCAGATATTTAGGAAAGAGATGGGGGAATTGCATTCTTAATTTTCAGCCTGAAACACAGGCCCCCATATTATATTGAGAAGCTTAAAAATAAACTTGACAGTGTTCCTTTAAGGAGGACGAGCTATCCCAAGTCCTGTAGCATCGTTCACTTCCACATTTCCATCACAGGCACTGCTAATGCCCCTACCAACAGCAACACAGACAGGGACAACCACGTTCAACATCATCAAGCGTCACTACTGACACTGTGAGGGCCCATGCAACACCAGGCACGGTCACGGCTGCGGGAGAAAAGGGCCCTACCTCTGTATAACAGCTGCAGAATCATTCTCTCGTTTCCGTCTCTTCCTTTCTGCGTAGCCCCTGAATGCCCTGGGAAACCATTTTAAGCCATTAACCAACTCCACAGCTTTGAACTGGAGAGGACACAAGACGCAGACAGGAAAGCTCTCACCAGACAACAGAAAGAGACTAGGCTGCCTGAGGGAGACAGCTGGCCTTGCAGGACTGTCTGAGAGTCAAGGGCTGGCCAACAGTCACCAAACCAAAGGTCCTCACTCTCTAGAGTAGATGGCTTCTAAAGAAAGCATAGCAGTGGCCACAGAACTACCCAAAGAATAGGGGCTGACAGCTCTCATCCTTGCTGCGGAGGAATGGAACTAGGAAACTACAGACACAAAGCCTCTGTGCACCAGTTTCAAGAGGGACAAAAGCTTGCTAGCCTCAATCCTGAAGGTGAGGATGGCTGCAGTGTGATCCATACAGGCACAGTAGGTGTAGCCATGTAACCTCTTCTCAGCTGACCAACAGTCATAGCACAGGGAAAGCATGAATGAATATGCTAGACAGGAGAGGAGAGGACAGTTTATTCCATTCATCAACAGACAAAGAAATGAAAAATAGAAGATTATACTTACGAGATGCTAGAGATTCCAGAAGATGCAAAGAAAAAGAGAAAGAAGAAGAATTCGTTAATGCTCAGCCCTGCGCAGCATCCCAAGGGGATCCTCACTCCAGAAGGGACAAATATTTCTTGTCAGGTGAAGGAAATAACTTTTTAAGTTAGTTCTCAGTGCTCAAACTCCAGCTTGACTGAGCTAAAACCTCCAAGACAGTATCATCACATGGTACAAATTAATTTGTTGGGTCTCCGTGCAGACCCAAAGAACACACAGATGTACAACTGACAACAGAATACTGCCTGTCAGAATACAGCAGCAGCTCAGTATGGGGGGTATGGAGCAGGGAGGTCTTGTCCCCTGAGCACCCATGACTTGTGAAATCAGCCCACACTGCCCCTCCTGTCAAGGAAGCAAGCCCAGGGCTGAAAACTCTACAGCAGAAGCCAGGGGCTTCTGAACCTCCCAGCCAGCTCAAAAAGGTGTCCTGAACTCTTGGAGATGTTTCTGTGTGAATTCCAACAGCTCAGACTTCCTAGAGATGTTAGCAGCTACCTTAAAACAAGGGAGCTTTGCTCCTCATGGGTTTCCTTAGGGCATCATTCTCCAAACCTTTGGTCTCCATTAGCTCCAAGTGCAGCATCCTGCCACAAACCACACGCACAGCAAAGGTGACTGCAGGTAACAAGGGATGTGCCCACCAGCAAATGAAATGTGCTGGGTTTGTGCATGGTCTGGTTTGCCAGATCAGAACTCTGAAACATCATAAAGAGCAAAGCAAAAATCCACCAAATTCCCCTCAGATTGCTCACAGGCCCTGTCAGTCCAGTGCCAATGAGCATTAATGAGCTGAACGTGCCACAAGACTTGCAGCTTCAGAGAGGAGGCAGAGAGACAAGAGGGAGCTAAGTAAGAGAAGCAGCACAAGGAGCTGCAGACTGGCACCATGTAAATGCCCCCCATTCTGTTCCCAGGATGGGCTGCACTTCCAGCTGTGCTGGGGTATGTGAGGAGTGAAAGAGCATAAAGATAAGCTTTTTCTTCTAGAGGAGAGAGATTCCTTCCATATTTCAGCAGCTACCCTTTTCCCCAGCACCGGATCCAGCCTTCTCCACCTTATCAATGCAGATCTGATTCAGATTGGGTTATCCCAAGATCAACCAACAGCTTCTTTTGGGCACCTGGGAAGGGCAATGTCTGAGGAAAAGAGGTGGCAGAGAAACAGATTACAAAATGGAGACCAGGTTAAACAAGCAGAAATAAAGGGAGCAGCAGAGAGGAGGGTGACATGGATACAGGAAAAAGGACAAGAAGGTGACATCGCTGGAGAAAGACTTTAGAAAGCAGAACATCAACTCATCTTCCACATTGCCTGCCTTCCCTTTTCAGCCAGGTAGGAAATACCTGAAACCAGGAAGATGTCATACCCTGCCAAGCTGAGTATAATCTTGAAATGAGGCTTCATTTTCTCTCTTAAGTCCTTTGAGAAAAGCCTCTTCTCCACGCACAGCAGCCAGCAGCACCAAATCCTGCATGCAGTGTAAAGGGAGAAACTATTCCTAAACCAGATCCTCTCATGCTTTGCAGACATTTACTGACACCCTCTTCAAATGACTGGAAAAACACATTAAGCTGTAGGGCTACATCTCATAATACAGAGATACACTTCTCTGGAGCAATGGATGGGGGGCAGGTCTGGATTAATATTCCCCCAGAGCAATGGCTGCATCAGAGGCAGTGGTGGAGGGTCTCAGCTGGTGTTCCCACAGCACATCTGCTCTGCAGAGGCAGTCAGGGACAGTGTCACAGGGAAAATAAGGGAAGCAGAGGAGAATTGCATAGCCCAAGAACTTATACAAGAGGGAACAGTAGGAAAGAGAAATAATGAGTGCAAAAAAGAATGAACGAGACACAAAGTGCCCTCTCCCCCAAGGTGCAGTGTCAAATACACAATTCAACTTGCTCTGTATCTGTGCTCTCAGATATAGTTTGGAGTGGGCCACAAACTTGGAGATACACAACCAAACTTAAGGCAGTGGTTTCACTTACGCTTGCATAGTTGTAGTAGCAGTTTGAAAACTGAAGAGGTTCTCTTTTGGGAACCAGGTTCGTATGGGGACATCATCTAGAAGAGAGAGAGCAAAAGCTGAGAATCCAGCAGGCAGAGCCACAATTCAGACAGCAAGACTTCCCAGCTCTCACTTAGCACTTTTCTTCAGCACCCTGCCCTGTATTAAATAAGACAGTCTCATCCTCTCACTTTATATGCATGCTACCACCAAGTGTTTTGTAAATTTGTACTAAGCCTGTCTGTCACACTGCTAATGAAGAATGAAAGCTCTCTCCTAAGCACAAAGACTAGAATAATCCAGGAATTACATAAGAGACATTTGAACAAGAGAAAAAAAAATAGGGGAAAAAAAACATTTTTCATTCAAAGCATTTTCCAGTCTCTGCCTTTTCCTTAGTACCATTAGCTTGAAATGTCCCATTCATCCAGCTCTTTTTGATACAGCACTCATCTTCCTCTATTCAGAGCTGCAAGGCAGAAAAATACTTTCTTTTCTCCCACTGATGCTTTCCCATACACACCTCATATAACTGCTCCTGGTGACCCAGTCCGATGAGTTTGTCTGGGTTTGGAAATCAAACAGCACATGGACCGTGCAATCTGGTGATAACCACATTTATTTGGTCCCCTATGTGTGCAGACTGACCTGCCTGGACCAACTGCAGATTATTTCCCAATCCTGCTATATTAGCACATCACATCATCTTCACATAATGACCACCAAGACAAAAACCAGGCAGCAAAGCAAGTCACCAATTCTGCTTGTGGGATCATGGTGACACAGAAGGAGGAACTTGGCCAAGAAGCAGCTCCTTTGAGAACTCTCAGGGTGAATTTGGTCAGGCAGAAATTGGAGGTATATTAAAAACCACCAGACATGTGAGATCCTGCAGGATGGGATCCCCAGGCTTTGGGGCTACCTGGCTCTTCATCTTGCTTCACTCTGAATTTGAGGCTTCCTTGCTTAACACCTTGCCACGTGTTGCTAATCATGTGTCCAGATGCATGCCCTCCACAGTTTTAAGATCATTATGAACCACAGCACCTTAGTCGTTAGCACTCTGGCACTATCAAGAGTATTTTGTGCACTATCAATGGCCAAAATCCAATCAGATCCACAAAAAGCAGCTATAATTACAGATGGGGGAAAAAAAAAAAAAGCTAGATGCAAGTGGGGAGGCTTTCTTTGAAGTGGGACTCCTTAGAAGTTACACAGAATGCTCCTCAGCAGACAGTTTAAGTTGAGGTTTGTATAAAGGCACCCTAAGGAAATAAATGTTTTAAATTAAGTCAGCATTCAAGCATGCTAAATACTTCTGATGAAATTCCTCTGCCTGCTTTCCTCCAAAAAAACCAGATAAGCAGTGTAAAATGGCTCAGAACATAAATGATTTATTTGCTCAAAGTCTCGAACCCACTGAAGTGGTGGAGGGGGTGAAGCTGTCTAAATTCTGGTTTAGCCAACAGTTCTGCGCAGAATTCTCAGGAACTCCTCATCCCAAAGGACTGATGATCTCTTATTACATGTCATAGCTCTTAAGCCACCAGCTTTGATTCAAAGCAGAGCTTCTGAGGAATGGTGTTACACATCATAAACACATCATACACTCAGCATCAAGTTCCATATTAAATTAAGCCAATCTGGCCCAACTGCCATGAGTGTTGGTTTGCAGCAGTAACAGCTCACGTAAATCCAAACAGAGAAAGCAGCACTGTCAAATGAATTTCTGGGGAAATTAGCATCTCTCTCAGCTCATCTCTGCTCTGCTTTCTTTGCTAGCCATGCATGAAGGACATTCCGGGAAATACTTCCTGCAACTTGCTGTGCTTGTGCCACTCAGCTGTCATTTGTTTTTCCTGTTTGGATAGACAGAGTAAATGACATCAAGATGAGGAAACCTGCAGTCCGTGGTGCAGTGCTAAGGGGGGATTTGGTCTCAGACACAGAGCTGCCACTCGTGTGAGCACTCAGAAGTTGCAGCAAGCCCAGGGGTGGCTGTGCCTGCAAAAAGGGGTGGCTGTACAAAGTGAAATACTCATAAAGGCATCTGCAGGTTCAGCACCATCCACTCTGTTCCCATTTAAGTATCTTGTCTGATATACACTTACTTTTAGAAAGGCAATCTCCCTTTCACATTAATAACCAACCCTAATGAAAATTGCTGCCTGGTTGGAAACACATATTCTGAGCCTAAGACTCAGAAACATGCCATGGTATTTGCTAGATCATGTTTTTTTCCAGCAAATAAAGAAGTTCAGCTCCAGCTCTCGGAGTTCAAACTCCTCCATGAAGCACCAGAAGCCTTCCTTTGGTTCTGCATCAAGCAACCTGCTTCAGTCCCGCAGCAAAGAATAGTTTTGATATGTTCAGGAAAGCTTTCAACATAAATCCATCAATGTTAGAACAAGAAATATTCACCTTCTTAATTCAGAACGTGTTACGAGGCTGCAGCTCATTCCCCATAGTACCCTGACCTCAACAAGAACGAACCCCCTGGGTTGTGATCTCTGTTCTGAACAGCTCAGACTGATGCTGTTTCCAGTCTGTTTCCCATCAAGATTCCTGGCTGTGTCATCACATGCAAACCCACCTTCCTACCAGTAAAATGCACATGATTGTAGAGCAGTAAACACAGGAAAACTCTTTTTCTCACTTAAGCAATAAAAATATGAAAGTCTAAGTTGTACATGAAGCATCTGAGGTGAAGCCCAAAAATCACAGGGAACAAACAGAAAAGCAATGACTAAAGTGATGCACAGAAGTTAGCTGGACTGTAGGTGCTCTGCACATTTGATAAAACCCTTTTTTTTTTTTTTTTCCTTCTTTAGTCACATAATTGCAAGCATCCAAGTATGAAAATATGGTCCAGAACCCAAACTGCCTGCAATTTTACCTACAGTAAGTATCACTGTGAGTCTAGGAAAGAGATACAGTGTGATCCGCACAGACATTATACTCTACCAGATTTATTTTCAAGGGGAAAACCTTGACATTTCCTGGCTGGACACTCATCTCTAAAAGCCCTGATGAGTCTTTCCATAAGAAAATATAAAAAGAATTAAACTAATTAGGCCAGACTCTTTGTCAACCACATACAGAACTGACAGACAAAGATGGACTGCTTTAGGTCATAATTTAAAGCACATAGATTGGGAGAAATATTTAATTAATGGTAAATCAGGATTTTTTTTATGGAATTAAAACATGACAAGCCAAATTCCCTGAAAGCATTCAGCAAATGGATAATGAGTGTGGGAGAAAGTCCAGTATTGCATTATTTGCTAATATTTATGGCACGACTATGAGGTGGCACTACGTGTTGGGCCTTGCTAGACTACTGCCAGCCACACAGACCAGGATTTTGGAGATGTAACAGACTATGGAGCACTCAAGCTGAGCCGAGGCTCTCTTTGAGCACCCTGGCACGTTTAAGATTTCACCTGCCTCAACCCCCAAGTGAGGCAAAGGAGAGTCCTATTCGGAATGGCCTCCTAGATGAGCAAAAATGTAGGTGCTTTGACACAGTCCTTCCTCTCCTGCTCTTTCTTCAACAGAAAGAGAACCCATGTAGACCCCCTAAGGTGCACCAAGCCATCATGAAAACCACTCAGAGACAACAGGTTTGGATGAGGTGACCTCTTACTGTAAAAGGAGCTCCTCTTACTGTAAAAGCCCTGCTTTGGGATTCCCTTTATGTGGACACTGGTGCAAGGTGAAGCACTACAGGGCCCAATTCAAGGTACATGGCAACAACACCTCCATGCTGGAAAGAGACAGGTGCCACCCTTCACCCATGCTGATGAGTCCCTCTGTGCCCTTCCAGCACCCAGCACTTGCTCTTACTTACCAGACACTCGATCGACACTATACATCCTCTCCAGCCTTTTTCTGTGCCATCCAGTCTCACCGGATTGATGCGGCTCTAGGTCAAAGGAATGATGAGAAGGAGCAGCCAGCCGGGTGCAGTTTGGGCACTCCTTGGATCCCTGCCGGCTGCCAGGCCAGCCCTTGCAATGCCTGCTGACACCGTGAGAGCCACCAGCACTGTGCACAGGGTGGCCGTGGTGGCATTCCTCTTGGGCAGCCCCTTTCATCACCACCAGTTCCATACTTTCATTCTCGTGGTCTGACAGCATCGGCCTCTCTCCGGAGATGGTGTAGACTCGTGGCTTCGGTCCCTCACTTGGCATCTTCTCTGCCTGCTCCTCAGAGAAGCTCCTCTCAAACTTGCCATCGGAGATGACGGAGAGCCTGCGCTTGTTCTGTGCTGCCTGCTGCATCTCAGGGGAGTCCTCCTGCCCGATGTAGGAGTCTGCTAACAGGTGATCTGAAACAAATTGCACACTTTACTGCTTAAAACCAAAGCACCTCAGGCTCCGAAACATTCAGGAGGCTCTTTGTTACTGCTGTAGAAAGAGATACAGTAGACTTGCCCCCAGAATAACCTTTTACAGTAGGAGCTCAAAACCGGTACCTCCAGCATCCATGTGTGCCCTGACCCCCAGAACTGGTGTAAAATGAGAGATACTCCTTACACATATCCAATATTTTAACTCATAGTGTTCAGCAAGCAAAAAATGAGGCTAGAAGAAAATGCAGCTCTTGGTGCACAGTCTGAAAAAGCTCATGTGCAGAGCAGCCCCTGTGCAGCTCTGCAGTCACTGCTTCAGTGGGTTTCCCACTCAAGGGCTGCTGAGCTGGGAAGGACCTGCAGGACAAGGAGCAGCACCAACTTCTATAAGAAGTCACAAATGCTGAATGTTCTCTGTGCACCAATTTATCATTGTTTTTTTTTTTTTTTATTAACTAAAAACAGCAAACCAACAGGTCATATTTTTTTTTTCTTTTCTCATTTTCTGCTAATTGCTTTGAAATGAAAGCAATGCCAAAAGACTTCAGCCAACAGCTGCAGCCTCACCCCCACTAACTCCACTCAGCAGCCTCACTTTGCACGGACAGCAATGGCACTGCATGCAGGGGCTGTCCGGAAGGAAAACGAAACAGCTCCTTTTGTAGGATAGTGAGATCCAAAGGAGAGAGGCCCATGAGTGCAACTATATTTGGAGCCCACACACCGGATCAAGTGCCAGGAAATCTCAGCATTTCCATGGCAATTCCATGCATGAACCCAATAGCAGCTCCCACTCACCTGCTAATCCTTTTTTCAAGTGGCTGCTAATTACCTCTTACACTTCCCTTCAGATGGAAGCAGCTAGGGGACTGCTAAAAAGGCTCAGCAGGGAATGCATTATGCATGGGAACTACTACCCCAGAAAAAACAAAATCATTAGTGTCCAGCACAGACAGCAGTGTTACAAACAGATGGAAAGCAACCCCAAGCCTTTACTTCATGAGATAGATAAGGACCATTCTTCCTCTAGCTACTGACCTGGAAGGAATGGGCAGCAATCTGAGGTTTGGCTACCTTGTGGCTGGCCATGGAGAGATGAGGGAGGAGGAGACAACCTACCTCGTCCTCCTCTGCTCTGAGTGTGCAACACAGACCCGACACCGTTGCCAAATTCTGCTTCCTATAAAGCGCTCCTGTGCTGCTCAGACAGGAGCTCTCCCAAGGTGAGGATGTACAGCATCAGCTTTTGAATGTGAAGCCCAGCCTGGATTGTGCCCACATCACCAAGGACCTCTCCTGCTGCTCCACTGCAGCTGAGACTGAGCTGAATTTAGCTGGTACCAGCAGTGTGTCACACTTATCTCATTTTTCTGCTTGAGATACAACTTCCTCCACTGCCACAGGGAGATAAGCACATCTCCAGCTACTCTGCTCCAGAAGTGACTGTCAGGATGCTTCGGGCTGACACGACTCAGCTCTGTCTCACTTGTCTCCTAGCAAAGTCTTACAGTCTCCAGACACAGCAGCTGGCAGCTGTGTGGGTCGCTGCTGCTTCAGCTGACCAGAGCCTATGGGAGCCCTACAGGAAGATCTGTGCCCCTTGATCCCATAGCTGCTGCTATCTTCCCAGATTTCACATGGAGTCCAAAACGTGTGCCTAAGTGTAGCGAGGGGCAGCGCACCTCACTGACACCACCCCAATGAAACAAAAGGCAGGCAGTGGTCTCCTCACCCATTGCTCCGGGCACAGAAAGGAAGAGCAGGCTCACACAGACCACATGGGCCACCACCAGAACATTTTCAAGCCTACCATTCAAGTGGAAGAAGCTGCTCCACCAGCTGTCATCCAGCAGCTTGGCCACAGAGCCCTGCCTGCTGCATGACACAGCACCACTCAGCAGGCAGTGCAGTACGTGGCCACAGGCTCCAAACTACCACCAATTACTTCTTAGCCCTGGAGAGGCAGCAGGACACCAAATATACTCTCCAACGACTTAGATCCTCTCCAGCTCTACATCTCACTGTGCTCTACAGAGGGCATGTCTTGGTAAAACACCAGCAGATAGCTCTTCAGGATATGCCAAGACCTCTGCTGGATAATAGAGCCAAGGACATCAATTTTTAAAATTAAAAACAAAGGCCAGCTCTAGATACTTACCTCATCTTGTCAAACTTACTAATCTGTGCAGGCATCATGACGCTACATATTTCTTAATGCACCACATAACAGTGGCTGACGGCTGCCTCCATTCCTCCTAAAATGAATACTTCTGTGGAGGATATTCAGCAACATGAGAGCAAAGACATGGGATTATGCACTTCATGCATAACCATAATCATGTGCTTCAAAAAATAAAGAAAAATAAACAACAAAATGCCCACAGTTCAGCAGCTCTGAAAATGCTGACAATTGCCAGTGCAGACAGATCGATTCCAATCGTAGTTTCATAAGCACTGAGATCTGCTTCGGCTCCATTAAACGTACAGACATGTAAAAGGGATAAGGCAGGTTTTGAGTAACAGTCAACTTCTTACAGAAATCACAGCAGCTTTACAGCTTTTGATTGGATGCATCTGACAAACAACCTGTCTAATCTAGTCTACGGGACTTTCTCCCTACCTTACTTGCTCCTTCCTCGAGGTGCACTTACTTGTACTTATCCAGGAGCTTTCGTGGTGAAAAGTCAGCCACCACACCAGTAAGTCTCCTCTTCCTAACAACTGGATAATTATTTATTTTCAGTAACTTAGCATCTTCAATGCTTGTATGCTGGAGAAGCAACTTCACGTGCAAAGCCAACGTGAAGCTTTACTCAAGGCTTCTGGTTAATAAAGAAATCTACAGAAATAAATCACTATGAAAGGATTTTTAAAAATTTCAAACATTCTTCGTAATGAATTCTTGAATTGATCCTGCAGTCATTTTAGAGAGTTCCCACCTATGTATTCATGCACACTGGCAGCCCAGAGGTGTCACCAGGGAGAAGTGGAACAGGTTGCCCAAGGAGGCTGTGGATGCCCCATCCCTGCAGGCATTCAAGGCCAGGCTGGATGTGGCTCTGGGCAGCCTGGGCTGCTGGTTGGTGACCTGCACACAGCAGGGGGTTGGAACTGGATGATCACTGTGGTCCTTCTCAAACCAGGCCATTCTGTGATTCTAACCTCATCTATCCTTGCAGAGAACTAGATTCAGGTGCTGCCAGAGCACCAGAACTGTTTACACCATGGCATTTAAGGTTGATAGGTTCCTGTTCTTTCCTAGTTCCTGCTAGGAAAGAAGTCCAGCTGGTCAAGAGATTGACGCTGAATGAAACTTGAGCCACAGGGATGTCCAGTTCAGAGAGCTCAAACATTAACAAGGGATTTCTGCAGTGAGTGGAACTGCCTCCAGCTGAAGCAGCCTGCTGTTAGCACCCTCTGCCTGGCTGCAGCTGCTCTGCTTCCCTTCATCCTCACATTGCTCTTTCTCATTTTGCACACAGCACTGCCCAACACAGCCATTAGAGCACAGGTATCAAAGAGGACCACTGACAGCAGTGCTGATCTGTACCAGTTAACCAGCAATGCCTTGTGAAAGAATCCATATTTGTGGTGCATTTAGTTTCTGATCATTAGGTGCTTAATTACAATACATTCCTGTGCATTCAGCAGCTACCTCGAGAGTAGTGCTCTGACCCAGGTAACTAATTGCTAATGGCTTCTGCATTTCCTTTCCCTCTTGCAGCATTTCTAGTGAAGAGGTAACACACTGGAATAAGCCTCAGCTGAGTGATGCCCATTCACAGCAGTAGGGATCACCAAGCCAAACTCATGCCTGATGCAAACTGCCTTGTAGCCCCATAAGATGAGAAGTTTATAAATCAAGGCAGAATTACAGCCATAAGGCTTTTAAAAAAGACCCAAATTTATTACTGCATTTAGCAGCCAAGCTGATGATTAAAGCGCCTTAGATTTAAAACCTCTGCTCCAGCACCAGAAACAAAGAGGCAAAGGGGAACCTAGATAAATCCCATTTAAAAAAATGCACCTGTCACCTCAGAGAAGTGCATTTCAGAGCCAGTTTCCTCTTCCCTGTCCCACCTCAGCAAGACCTCTTTGCTCCTGAGGCTTCTTCAATTTTAAGTACCAACGTTAAATGAAAGGACTGCCTCGGCCACTGAAGATAAAGGTACAGATGTAGGCTTTGCATTATTGTTCCCACGAGGAGAAATGAAATTGAAGCATTTGTGGTCTTTTTGTGTTGTTTTTTTTTTTTAATTATTTTTTATTTCACTGGTAGCAGTCCAGGTGATACCCTCAATGAGGGAGCAGATGGGTGCACTGGCTCAAAAGCCCACGGCACTGCAAATAAAGAACAGCTTTTCAAAGAGCAAGGCTGAGCAATTTCTCCTTCAGTTTCAGTTCTCATTCATTCCATATGTCTGCCACTGCCCCAGGTCTGCTATGACACTGTCAGGTCATCTCCTCTTCCCAATGGGGCACAGAGAGAGCATCCTAGCTGCAATGCAAAGCTCCCCCCAGTACAAACCCAGGAAATTTATCCCAAATATTGAAGCATGAGGCAAGGACATAGATAAAAAAAAAAGATCATTTTTTAAGAAGTCACAGAGGTGCTTTTCACACTTCAGTAGCTGCTGAGCAGCTTGTTAGAGGTGACAGGAGTAGCACTGCTGTGATGAGCACAGTGTTCACTACAGGGTCTTTAAGGCCTGACCAAGTCAGCCCCATTGTCAGGTTAGCAGGCACTCTGACCCTATAGCTCCTGAGGAAGGCATCTCATAGAAAAAAGGCAAGGCCTGCTTCAGCAAGGGAGCAGTTCTGGGAAAACAGGAGGTCACTTAAATGTGACAGATTCGCTCCAATTAGACTTCTGAGCTACAAACTGCTGAAGATGCTGTTGGCATTATACCTCACCATTACTCTCCCAACAGCCTTTGAGATTGGCCTGCAACATTAATGTGAGCAGACAAAACTGCTCCTGCGAGACACGACCCAACAGAGCAAAAGGCAGCTTCCACCACCACAGCATTCCCATGGTAACGCCCCAACCTACGCTCCTGCTCACTTCACAGCCAGCACATTCTGCAGTGGGTTTGAGGACACCTCCACACCATACCTGTGCTGTTTGAGGCTGGAAGCAGCCTGAAGCCCTGAGGTGAGATTCTACATCCTTTTGCTGGACTGAATCCAGGTTGCACAGGGATGCACTGGGACAGCTGGGCCAGACCCACTGGCAGGATCCACCCCAGGACAGGGTAAGTCTCCACAGAGAAAAGGCAGGCTGCTGCTTACCTTGAGTCAGTACCCACCTGCAGCTCCACAGTCTGGACATTGGAGAACTGAAGGTCCGTGGAGACCATATGGTAGCTGCAGCCCCACAGCCCTGGCTTCATCAAAAGCCCAGCCCTCAGGGCACTCCCCTGACCCAAAGCCCTGCAAAGCCTTGCGCTGGAACTTCTCAAGCTCACTTTGAGTTCCTAGCAGCACGAAAAACCTCCCTGCTGCATGGCTGCTACCTTCCACACGCTCACATACGGTCCTCTGAACGACAACAGCCAGGGTGCAAACACCAGCAGTTGTTTCAGTGAAGTGTGTGCATGTAGCACAGCAGCATCAGCAAACACTCTTCTCTTGCCAGCATTATCCACTGCTGTTTGATTTGGGGAAGGCTGTAAGCTGTTCCTTTCTCATTACATCTTCATTGTTTCCACAGATGGCTGAAATGTCGCAGATGAATAAAGAGAAGAAGTGCAGATGACTTGTTTGAACTTAAAAATGAAGTTTATTCCATTTTCAGGTAATGATTAATTTTGTTCTGTGCTGATGCAAAGCGATCCCAGTAGCCATGCTGTTTTTGCTAATAACCACTGCGAATGTGAGTCAAGATCTGCCAGGCATCTCTGGCCCAAGGCCCACCATCACTGCAGCACTGAGCACACATTTTACTTGCTGGGATCTTCTCTTGTGCCTGAATCCCATCTCATGTACTGCCACTCCCCCCATGCAGGAGGAATATCTCAAGAACTCCACTTGCCATTATTGTTCAACTTCACCGCCCCGTGTCCTGGCTGCCAACTTCTCCTCATAGTTTCAATATAGAGATATAAAGTAATCTAAACCTCAGTGTGGGCTTCTGACACCTAATATGGGAGATGGGGACTCTGGTAATCTCTAGAACTCTTCATCTCACTGGTGTGACCCTGAGTCATTATTTTTTAATACATTTTACTCTCTCCAGCCTTTTTACACTCACCTTTTACAACACTTCAATCCTCTTCCCTGTCTTTCTTCTTGGTCTGTCACAAGGGACACCCGTTCCTCCTCTAAAGCCATTCCACAGACAGGATGGAAATATATCAGAAAGCTACAAGAGCCAGCAAGGACTTTGCAACAGCCTTGTAGTTAGAATGAATGCTCAACATGGAGAGTGCTGTTCCTGGGAGCCTTCCCAGAGCTTCAGTCTGCATGAATAAACCAGCACCTAATAGGGCCAGGAGAGGAGCAGATGTCCTGGCACCTCAGCACCAGCTCCCTTAACAGATCCATGCTCTGTCAGCTACAGCAGAGCCCAACTCTCCTTTTTTTGCCTAATTCCTCTGAATATCTTAAGGATCAGGAGGAAAAAAAAAAACAAAAAAACAAACAAACAAAAAAAAAACAACAACAAAAACTGAACAATCATAAGGGGTCAAATCCAGCCTGATCCAAAAGGGAAACAAAGGGAAGAAAATGGGTATATTGCCATCCCTGCAGTAACCAGACAGAATAGTCATAGAATACTGAGCCAGGCACCAAAGAGGAGGTAAATGTTCTGAGTCACCCAGAGAAACCTCCTCCAAGATAAAGCACTGAAGACCTCCTAGGGCTAATTGCAGTATTTCTGAAACCTGATGCTCTCAGGCCCCCTATCAGGAACAATCAGAAACTGTAACCAACAAACACTCCTCCTCACCTTTCTCCTGCTGCAGGTACACCCTGCAGCATCCTGCCACCCTCTTTACCTCCAAAGGACTCTAAAACAGTCAAGGCAGAGTGGATGATCCTCAGAGAACAAAATGCAGCAGAAATGAAGCAAGCCGAGGCAGCCTCTGCACATGTGGCATCTCCACGCAGATGGAGGGTCTGCTGTGCCTGCCTGGGCAGTCAGCAGGCAGCTCTACCCTTCTGCCTAGGAGCTGAATTAGCAGCTAAAGCGACAGTAGAACAGGTCTGTGACCAGGTATGAATCTATCACCTTCCATTCACCTTTAAGGTACCGCCATAATCCCAGCTGCAGTCTGCTGGCACTGCATCCACACAAACACCTGGGGTTACTACAGCAGAAAGCAGACCTACGTCACCAGGTAAAGACACTCACAGAAGGAGCCCAGCACACTAGAAGCAGACACACAGGCACTGAGGACTCAGTTCTACAGCGTGCTGAGCTTTCTGCACCAGTACATGCAGGCGAGAATTTAACTACAGGATACCAGTGGGTGTGTGCAGCCACAACACTGCTTCTTCCCTGCTCCCTTCAGCCAAGCTGGTGAGTTGGAGCAGACTCAGCCGCTCCTAGGTAAGTGCTCCATCCTCAACTGATGGTGAAGAGACCCTTCATTTGTTGTAGGAGTCATCAGATCAAAGCCAACCACACAGCTCACACGCTCTGCTGAGCCAAAGGTGGAGCGTTCAGAACTCGTAAAGCAGTGCTGAGGTGCACAGGATTTCTGCAGGAAGAAAAGAGCTGATTTTTCTCATACTGCACAACTGGGACGAAGAAAAGGGAGACAGATTTTCTATGTTCATCATTTTTATAGGAGTGCAGCCATTCTCCCATAGTTAGTTACAAAGAAATGCTACAGACTGTTAAACTGTATGCTGCAGAATTTCAGTAGATGATTTTAAAAGTATTTTTCCCCCTTTTCTATAAACATTCAGATTCTTTTCTAGAGAACTTTATTTATTTATTTCCCATACAATGCTGAAGGATTCCACTAAGGATTTTGGTATATTCATGTGAACCTCTCTCTGCTCAGTTCTTATCTAGTAACTACTATCTGGTAATTAAATTTACTTGGATCCAAATAGGAATTCCTTCTTTCCCTGCAGGAAAGGACAGAAACAGCTGCAAAAATAGCTTTGATAATGGCTGCTTTTGCCATTCAGGAACACCTCTGAAGTCTGTCCAACCCTCACCTCCCCTCTGCCTCACCACACAGACTCTCCATCTCAGCTGCTCTGAACCCCAGCTTTCTCCTACTCTCTCCCCCCCCCCCACCACAGGTCATTCTTATATCAAATACTCTCAGTAAGTAATGTGTCACTGGAGTTTCTTAAGGCTGTAGGAAAATAATACATATATCTCAAAGAAAACAGCAGTATGTTGTCGTTAAGCTCTTCTACTCTCAAACTTAGCACAATTCAGCCAAGGACAACTTGAAGGTCATCAGAACAGATCCAAAGAAAAAGGCAGGGACTCCATCTGGTTGACATACACCAGTGTGACTGGGCTTGCTCTTTGAGTAAGAAACATTTTCTACTCGTACAGGTCTAAATAAACATATAGTTTACATACGATGTAAATGTCACTCTACGTTGCATTCTATTTAATGCATTTATCCCCATGGAAGAGTTCAACACTACAGAACACCCTGCTATTTATCCACACAAGACTTTCTATGGAGTCTTTTGCAGCGAATTTAACATCCACAAAATGCTTTCTTTCCTCACAGAGAAGACACAGCCCTCTTAGATGCCCCCAGTCCATCAAACAGAACCCACCACAGGCTGACAGGGACAATTTCTCTGTCTAAAAAATTAATACATCAGCTAGCACATGCCGTTGTCCTCAACCTGACAAGGCAAATTGCATTTTAACCCCTGCTGAAGAAAACCCCGGGAAGAAATCCAAAGGTTACCTCTACCAGCAAAGACAGATTGCTGCACATACACTATGCACAGCAACTCATGTACCACAACTCATATTTTTTTTATTCCTCAGTGAAAGCAAGACCTAGGAGTAACAAACCAGAGCAGAAGCCTCGTGCAGTGCAGTTTTTCATTCTTCACCTGAAGTGTCATCCAAGGACATCAGCTCGAGGAGCAAATTTATGGCAGGATCCACTCGAACTGAGCTTGTCCCCACAGCCCACCCAATGCTTGAGTCACCAAAGTGCCTTTTTCCTCATGGGCTTCACGTGGATCCACAGGGTGACTCTCCAGCCCCTCCGCTGCTGGGATCTCACAGTGGCCCTTTGTAAAGTAAGTCAACACATTTTAATTCTAGGGCATAAGTAGATGCACGCACATGCAGACAAAAACAATGTACATCATCTCTTACCTGAGCCATTTCTGCCCTCAGGATGATTTTGTGAAAGGTATTCTCCAAAAGCCCTTGCCGCTCTGTGCATCCAAGCATCACCGACGGCAGCAGTAAGAGAAAGAAGAGATGGACAGTGGTTGAATTCCAAAGAAAGAAGGAACAGTTCAACACACACTGCTGTCTTTCCCTCAGCCTCAGGTGACATCAAGTGAAACAAGCTGCAGTGGCAGCTCCTCTATTAACACACCTCAAGCTTTCCCCAGCCAAAGCATTTCCTTAAACAGAGTTGCACTCCAACCCTGGCAGAGAAACAACAGACAAAACCAGTGCTAAGACAGAAAAAAATTCACCCGTGTGCAACTTGGTCTTGTTTCTGTGGTGCCCATACCTCCCAGCTAGGAGCTGGGCCACACTCCAAGTGCCATGAGTTAACCCTCCTGCAGCTCCGAGGGGAAGGAAATCCATCCCAGTCCCAACCATCACCCCAGTCTGTCTTTCTACTCCAGTTCCAAATGCTCTTATCTGTGAGCAATCACACTTAGATATTAATGATAACACCCATTTCGCCTGCCTGATCCCTAAATTTTCCAGCACCAACAACATCAGAATTTGGACCACTGGCAACCCGTAAAAGCCTCTTGCTGTTCTTCAATAGATTTAGGTCCCACAAATGACAGATTTTACTGAAATATATCACAGCTCAACCAGGCAGAGTGGCCCTTATTACACGTCAAGAGAGCAAAATACAAATACTCCAACCTGGGAGTTCTCTGCGTTTAACCCACAGAGGAAAGGAAAGGTCAAGGCATGCATTCCTTCATATAAATACTGGGTGGAGACTCACGAACAGTAAGATCAAACCAGCACCCACCTCCCTGGGAAGTCAAGCCAAGCACTCTCAGCCTGCAAGCACACAGACAGCTCTTGTGGGGGAGGAGAGGAAGACATGGGGCAACTGGCAGGACTTTCCATGCCTCGAAACATCCCTCCCCAATTCAAGATGCTATAAAAGAGTAAGCTCGGATGTCTAAGTAAAAGCAGCTTTGACCTCCAAATCAACCTTCTGCCTTGCTACCCAACACTACTGCACATCTCAACCTGTGCAGCCAGGATTTTCTCCCACTGCTTTCACTCCCCTCCTCCCAAAGGAGGAGAGATGAACAAAGCCACAGCGTACCTCCCAGTGACCAGAACTGAAAGGAGTGGGAAGTCTATCTGCCAACCACAGCCAGCTAAAGTGGATTGATGTGAAAGATTAAAGAAGAGAATAATTTAGTCTCTCTGGGACTAAACTTCAGCACAGACAAATGGGAAGAGCTTTGGTGCAGCACAGCTAGAGCTGTGCAAGAAGAAAAGTTTAACCCTTCAGCGTCATTATAGGCCAATATGCAGTGCTGAGGTTTTTCTTTTTTCCAGGTTTCTGCTTGTCTAGGACCAGGATGTACTTCTAACATCAGCCTAAGGTGCCAGCTGCCCAAATTGCATTGCCCAAAGCCTACACACCCCCAGAGATGGCCATGCACACTCATGTGGAAGAGCTGTACAGCTAGCACAGCAATCTGCAAGGAGCAAACTGTCATGGTTCACCCAGGCAGGAGGACAGCACCTCATGAATCGTCCTTGCACCCACTGCCCTTTGGTCTCAGCAAAATGCAGAACTTGGTCTTGGGGCAACAGAGAAAAACTTGGAAGCTGAAGTTTCACCTTTAGCTTGCAAACCATGCTCAAAAAATTAGCACCAATCATTTCTTAAGACCCAACGTACAAACGATGGGCCAGAGAAGCACCGCTGCACACCGTCCCTCTCGTTCTAAGCAAAAACAGTCATTCAGAGCTCAAGCTCAGAGGTGCTGCAGAGCCTCCAGCCTCACCCTTCCCACCCCCAGCAGAAGGGGCAGCAGGGCAGAACCTTGCAGGCCAGAGCCCCACATCTCAGCCCTCTCCCCACAGAGCAGAAGCACAGGTGAGGAGCTCAGAAACATGCTGCCAACACCAGCTGAGCCCGCAGCTCCGTCCCTGCCTTCCCACTGCACCGCTCTTCGTGCTGCTGGTCAGCCTAAGAGCACACAGCCCTGGATGCCTGATCACAGTTCTCCAGTTGACAGTTAATAAGCCAGCGCAGCCTGCACAGCACAATGTGCAATGGGGGTTTTCCAGCCAATTACACCGCAAACTCCAGACTAATTGTTTGCTTATTATCTCAGTGGTTCCCTTCTACATTTCTGCCTCTCAAGTGCCACTGAGGCTGTGCCTCAGCAGATCTCCCACAGATGCCCACACGTGCCTCTTGCCAAGGGGACTCGGATGGCCACACTCGTTCCTTATGCCCGGCCTCGCCTTGCCAAGCCTCCGGTTCTCCTTCTTTGCCCTCGCTGTGCTCACTCACCCCAGTTTGCCAGCACCTGCCAGCATCATTAATGTGCCATTCACCCTCCCTGGCTACGTGCTGACATGATTGAAATAAAGCAGAGCAAAACTCAAGCAGCTGGTAACTGCTCTATTCTGTATCTCAGTCACTATAGCCAAAGCCCATCAAGTCCTCTGATGGCTCTGCACAGTAACCCTCCTGCTGGGCTGGAAAGAGACATACGATTTAACTTGTAAGAGAAGGAAAAAAAAAGAAACTTGTTTCACACGAGTGAGATGAAGCGCAAGGTGCCTTACATGGACACAAGGAGATGAGCTATAGCCCTGCGTGTGTGACACTGTGAAAGCAGCATACAAATGAGCAGGTAGCTACCGAGAGTCAGCTGATGCCACGACAAGTTCAGCCCTGACTCATCCAGAGGAAGGTTTTCATTTTGGTGACAGACCAGACCTGCACATAACGCAGTCGGTACAGTTTGAGCTAACCAGACATCAGCCAGGGCCCACTGCCTTGGTGTACTGAGCTATTGAGTGCAACCAGCAAGGAGAATGCTGCCTGTGCCCCAGAGGAAACACTACCATCTTCTTCGGCTTCTCCTCCAACAGAACCACTTCCAGAGTGCGGAGGCTGGGGTGGGACAACGCAGGCAAAGGCAGCCGCCCTTCTGCAGGCATCTCTCAGCACTCACTGTGCTGGTGTCAGGGCTGGAGCCGTGTCTGGAAGACAAACAGACTGAGATCTGGCAGAGAAGCAGAGAAGGTTTAGACAAACATTTGCTAGAAGGAGGAAAGCCGCCAAATAACAGAGATATCAATTACAGTGTGATGAGTGTGGAATAGCCTTTATGTCTCTGAAATAATCACATCAACAGGATAAAAGGAGCCTTGATATGTACTGGCAGCTACGGGAAATTGATGCACACAAATTTATGCACTCCACGAAACTGACACTGAAGTAAGTGAAAAAATGTGTATCGAAACACTCAGAAATACATGAAAGCACTGTGGTAACTCCATTTTGAGCAATGCAGCAGGATAAGCAAAAGTCAGAGTATTCAGAAGTATTGTACAGAGAGAGAAAAGAACAAACACCTTCTCATGCATGTTCAGAAGTAGTGCCCAGGAGGTGCTGCAGGAATCTGTTGTGACAGCATGTAACAGGGCTGTGCATCAGAAAAACAGGAGCAAGAGAGCCCTGCACCACTGGCACTTACATCCAACAGCAGCCCTGGGAGCACTACAACATGTCCATCCTTAGCAGCTCCATCACACAGAAACCACTGATGCTCACAGTGGTTAAACCCAATGGCAGCATCACTGACAAAAGTTGCCCTTCTGCAAAAGCTGCGTAACAGAAAAACTGTCACTCTCGGCAAAAGGAAAACCACTGAGATCATGAAGTCAAAGTCTGCACTGTCTCGGAGGAATTTATATTTACAAAGCTCTGACAGGAGGAGAGAGAACAGAGCAGGTAATCAAAACATGAGAGTTCACACCATTCATGGGAAAATTCACAAGCAGATAAAAAGAATCCAGACTCCACTAAGAACCCCAACCTCAGCCAGAAATGACTCGACAGTAAGAAACCTGAGGTAAGGAGTGCATGTGAGTATCTCAGTGTTTTGTCAGCACAAGACAGACATTTTCTGAGCCTTTGTGGACTTGTTTTAAACCACCCTATGGCCTCAGCAGTCAGCAGAGGGGGAGCAAGGCAGAATTCTCCTCTCTCCAAGGGGCAAACACCGAAGTCCTGGCACTGGATAAGATAAAGCACATACTCAATTCACATGTCCTGTGCTAACTGCACCAAGGAGAAGTTCTGGAACATCCAGCAGAAGCCTCATGTCCTCTACAAGCACTGCTGCACTCCCCACAAGAAAGCTACAAATCAGAGTAATACTAAGTGGAGCTGCAGCGGAGTTTATTGCCACATCTGGGATGTCAGCATCGTTCTGTATGGCTAAAGGCAGTGAGGACAGAGAGAACCATTTCTAAAGGCTTTGGTTCATCTCTGCCCTTGAAAGCATGCTAAGGAAGCCAAGGAGAGCATGTCGATGCTTCTCGGGTCTGATGGGAACATGCAGACGCCCAAAACACAGCAGCCAGAGCTGCTGGCAGAGGGGCAGCACCAAGGTCACAACGCAAAGACAAGGACACATCCCTGCCATCCGCAGGCATGCCCTGGGAGCTGCAAGGCAGAAAAAAAGCGCACACACAAGGTCTCACAGCCACACAATTCAAATCTGAGCAAAGCAATGCCGCTGAGCCAGCACCACTTTCAGGGTGTGGGACTGGAGCTGTGTGCTGCAGCTTCCTCAGGAGAGGACAGGACTGCAGAAACCAAAGCCACAGCAGCATGGACGCCCCCAAAGATGCTAACGCAGAGCAACTATGCCATTATTTTTGAGGAGCTACGTAAAAGTCCTAACACACAACACACTGCATGGAGCTTAATGAATTCTCCTGGGACACGAGATCCCCTGAGCAGCTCTGCAGAAATTTTAATTGAAGAAGCTTGGGAGCTTGCACCTTCTGCTTGGATCACATCCCTCACAGCAGCAAACAAACGATGCTCCCTGCTCAGTAAGAGGAGCGAATGTGCACACACACTCCAGCTGCATGCAATAAAAATACATCAGCAGCTGCTTGGACTTGCAGTGCATTTCAGGATGTGATTTTTTCCTTTCAAAAAGTCACCTGCCCCAGGTGAAATACAAACAGCAGAGCTCAGGAGGTGCTGAAAAACAACCCCAGAGCATCTCTCCCTGCAGCACAAATGCAAGGCCCCAAAACTGCCTACATGAAACTGAGGGGACTAGATCATTGCAGCAGCATTATCCACGCAGGTGATCCAAGCCCCCAGCCCTCTGGGGAAGGGCAGAGCAGCCTATCCGTGTGCCTTACCTACCATGCTGCAAAGCCCTCTCTGTAAAGAAATGAGATGAGGACATGTGGGATGCAGAAGGAGGACTCAGGACAGAGGAGAAGAGACAGTGTGCACTGGGAAGCTTGGAGAAACCTTCCAGCAGGTGGATGCTGTCTGCTGTCGAAATGCTGAGGATGGCTGTGACTACACGAGGCAGAGGCTGACACGTGCAGGTTAGAGCCAAACCAGCAGTGCTTGCTCCCCACCAGCACCACCTTCACGCAAAGGAGCAACACAAGGCGCTCCGTGTTCCCTGCCCTCCCCAAAGGCTTCTTCAACTGGACATTCATTCAACTGGACAGAGCAGCACTGCGTAACAGCCCGCCTGACCACCCCTCGGGGACTTCATGTTCCACAGCCCCCCGCTCAACCCCTCTGGTCAAAGCACCACAACTCACACCCCTACCAGACACCTCCGAGCTCCCACGCAGCAGAAGCAGCCGCCTGTCAGTATCTGCAGCACACACAGCAAACCAGAACCTGAACTCTGCAGATTTCACACTACACGAGTAGTGTGCCCATCCTGATGTGGGCAGTTGCATTCCAAATGCGCTAGCTGCTCTCAAACACCCACGCCACCATTTGAAATCTTCTCGCCTGTTACAGAATATGTTGTTTGTGTGCCTGACTGTCTAATCCTACACCCAGAGCCCCATTACAGCACTCAAGGTGCATTTTATGTCATTTCTTTCCAACCACCTGGCTGACATCTGCCAAAAAGAATCTCACTGCTGAACCTCTGAACACCACCAAAAGCGCTCACGTTTTCAGCTATAAGCACAGCACACTGCAACATGGGGAGAAGTTCCAGGTTCTGCCTGGACAGATGCACTCCAGAATTTACAAGACAGAAGGACAGCACCACACGGACAGCTTTGGCGGTGCTCCTTCAAGCCTTCCATGGACAGCGAGACGCCGTAACGCTGAGCCCCAGCCTCGCAGAGGCGACGGATCTCTCAGCAGCACAGATCAAGCCCTACACATGACTCCAGGCTGCTCCGAAGCAATTTCGTCTGACACAAAGCAGGTTACATAACGCAGCTGAAAAGTTTATTTCTCCCCTTTTTTCCCCAGCAGCACAGAGCTCATCCGGATGTAGCAAAGCCCCAGACAAACCTGCCCAGCACACAGCTGTGCTGGAAGCGACCCCGAAGAGCTGCTCCGTGCCCTGACACCCGGCTGCGGTGAGGCGGGAGGGTCGAGTCCGTCTGCCCAGCAACGGGCACAGCTCCTCCGCGATGGCTTTGTGAGCTGAAGCACAGTCGCCCACCAACACGTTCTGTAGGATGTCCTACGTTCTGTAGGATGTCCTGCGCCTGACGCTCAGAAGCACTACGGGCTATAAGCACAGTCAGCGAAACCCTACGCCGCAGGGCAAGCACGAAAGCGCGACAGGCACAACCACAGAACCCAAACCTCTCACCGCTCAGCGCAGCGGCTCCGGGCACTGCAGAAGAGGGCAGATCCGATGGGTCTGCAGCGTGTTTCCCAGGGCCGTGGGATGCTCCCGCAGCAGGTTTCCCATACGGCAGAACGAGAGCCCTTGAGGACCGCTGCCCCCGGGCACAGATGGCATTTCGGCCGATTAAGAGCCAGCGAGCAGACCGGCGGTTCGCAGAGCCCCAGAGCTCCGCTCCACCGGAGCCTCGGAGCCGCACACGCGGCTCAGCCCCGGGCGGGGTCCGCCGGACCGCCTTCGTGGGGACGCACCCCCCGCCCCCATCCCACCACCCACCTCACTTTGGCCGCCACCGACGACATGGCCTCGTTCCTCAGCGTCTTCCTTTTGGACACGGCCGTGCCCATATTCGCGCGGGGGACGGCTGCCGGAGGAGCGCTCATCGCACGAGCCCGAGGCCGCCCATGCCGCGGCGGGGCCGGGTGCCGGGCCGCTCCCCGCGCTCAGCGCCCCGCCATGCCGCCCCGCTGCCCCCGGCGAGTGCGGCTCTCCGCCGCGGCCGCTGCCTGCTCATTGACTGCGGCAGGAGGGAGGGCCGGGGCGCGGCCGGCCGCCCAGGAAGCGCCGCTATATTTGGCCGCCGGCTCCCTCCTCCGCCCCCGCCTCCTGACATCATGGCGGGCGGCCCGGAGGGGCGCGGAGCTGCGCTGAGGGAGGCGGCGCGCGCCGTCGGGTTTAACGCTGCTCGGTGGCAGAGCGCTGTGAGGGCGGGCGCCGCTCGGCTCTCTATCGAGAGAACCTGGAGCTGCTGAGGAAAGGGTCGTTCGCCGAGAAGGCGATCGGGCGCTGCAACAGCCTCCCTGAGGGGTGGTCGTGGCACCCGGCGGAGCTCAAGGAGCGGCTGGACAGCGTATGGTCTGACCTTCGGTGTCCTGTTGGAGCCAGGACTCCGCGATCCTCACGGATCCTTTCCAACTCAGGATGTTCTGCGTTGCTTTTCTTTACCTGGGCACGTCGCTGGCTCGCTGCCCTTCAGGGAGCTCTTACGGAAGAGAGGGAAAATCTGGGAAACAGAATCACGGAATCACCGAGGTTGGAAAAGACTTTCAAGATCACCCAGTCCAACCATCCACCCATTACCAATGGTTCTCGCTAAACCACGTCCCTCAACACAACATCCAAACGTTCCTTCAACACCTCCAGGGTCGGTGACTCCACCAGCTCCCTGTGCAGCCCATCCCAGTGCCTGACCACCCTTTCAGACAAGCAGTATTTCCTAACATCCAGCCTGAATCTCCCCTGGCGCAGCTGGAAGCCATTCCCTCTAGTCCTATCACCAGTTACATGAGAGAAGAGGCCGACCCCAGCTCACCACAACCTCCCTTCAGGAAGTTATGGAGAGCAGTAAGGTCTTCCTGAGCCTCCTCTTCTCCAGCCTGAACAATCCCAGCTCCTACAGCTGCTGCTCATCAGGCCTGTGCTCCAGACCCCTCACAGCTTTGTGGCCCTTCTTTGAACACGCTCCAGGGCCTCGATGTCTTGCAGCGAGGGGAATCAACACAGACTTAATTTCTTGAAGAGTTCTTGTAACTATTTGGTTCTATTAAACTACAACTTGGAAAGCAAAGCGAGTCATTTAGAGAGCAGAAAACCCAATTGCTCCCCTGTGTACGGACACGAGGATCTCACTGCCTGGGTTTTATCACACAATGCACCATGAATAGCAAACCTGCAGAAATGCATCTCTGCTTAGATACCAGCTGTGAGAGAAAAAGTTCCCCGTGTGCAGAATGAAGGTATCATCCCACTTTTTAGTTTAGATTGAAGGAGAGGTGCTAAATGGCATCAGCCTCTCCATCACTGCCACCAGGAGAGCTGGTCACCGTGCCCTGCTCACTTGTTAGGGCTGCCCACACCGACATCACTCCTCCCGTGGGGTTTGCAGGATGAGCAGGGCTCAGCTGTTACCCACGGATGAACTAAGAGATGAGGTGATAAATGCTATAATCTCGCTGCCATGTGCTAATATCAGAGAGCAGCTAGGGCAGGTGTGCCTCAGTGTGTCCTGTGTGCTGGGAGTGAGGATGGTAGAGCTGCTTGTGTAACTCAGTGCCCAGCCTTATTAACCCTGCCACAAACACCCGTCTGGAGGTGCACACACTGCCACAGCCCAAGCCCTTTTTACTGTGCTTACCCCCACTTTTCTATTTACCAAATAACTGGAGGAAAAAATACTCTTTATTCCATAATATTTAAATGTTTTGCCTGCGGTAGAAAATGCTGTTCGAAAAAAGAAATTCAACAGAGCTTTCTACTCTAACCCTGACATAATCCCCCCCAGATCTACATGGGAACACCCCAAAGTTCCCATCAGTGATATGGCTCAGATCCAAAACAAGACCCAGCATCAACGTACTGGATTTCTTCTCCATTAAACAACTAACAGTCATAAGCCACCCCCCCCCTAATTTTTTATTTTTATTTTTTGTACACCAAAGTGTTTCTCCAACAGAAAGTAAGAGAGAATCCATTTGTTTTTAGGGAACACCTTAAAAAAAACCACTGCTGTGTATGTGAACCATGCAATTAGTTACAGTGAGTGAAGCAGTGCTCAGTACTGTCAGTTCCAAAATGTAAGAGAAGGATGCCTCCACCTTCACCCCACTTTCAGGCAGTATCTCTCACCTGTGCTCCTCTGGGAGCTCTTTCAGGCTCACCCTCATCCATCACTCAGCAAGCCTCAGTGCAGGGCTCACCTCAAGGCACTGCTCAGAGCTTGGCTGGATGCTTGGATTTTGGAGATCTCCAGTGTACATCTCAGTGCTATGCCACTCTCACAGGGAAGGCTTTTTTTCTTGACTGATCAGAATTTCTCTTGTTGCAATTCATACCCAGTGCCTGTGCACCCCTGCGGAGGGCCGTGCTCCATCACTCCCTGACCCCTGCAGACCTTAGCTCATCTCCCTGCTGTTTCCATCTTGCGCTCTGCTCCACCTGCACTTCGTGTTTCCTCTCTGCTTTCAGGTTTCTCCTGGTATCTGGGGGTTCAGGCAGCCCAGTGTGACAAAGATGGGGAGGCAGCCATTGTGCCAAGCGCCTACAGCTCATTAAAGCTGGCGAAATGCCTTTACTTCGTGCTAGGAAAAGAGTCAGGCGAGCCAGGCAGACAGTTCCCCATCACTTCTCCATGGCAACAGGCCTTCCAGATGCATGTAGGCAAACAGGCCGAGGAGGCAGGGAGCATCACAGTCCCTGTGCCCATACCCCAAACCTCCTCTGGTGGGGCTCCTGCTGAGCACGCTCCGTGCTAGGGGAGCACACCCCAAAACTACTTCAAAAACAATCAGAGCTTGTCAGAGAAATGCTCTCCTCTTTCCACTGGTGAAAATGAAACACTCCAAACCTGATACAGGCAAAATTCATCCTAGCCACTGATGATTTTTTATCTATAGAAATGTGTCATGCTTGGAAAATCTGGTATCACAGAATCCTTGCAAACCAAAAAACATATATTAGTCTAATGTGAGGTCCTGAGTCCTATGCCTTGTCAGGTCTAAGGTGAGAAGGGCCGATGACTTTCAGATATTAAGGTTGCAGTCTTCTAATGCTTAGAAAAGTAATTTTTGTCTAAATGAGCAAAAGAATGTGTATCCTGACCATTTAAATTAAATAAAAATAAAATAAAATGGAAATAAGGCAAGCAAAAAACAGTTACAGGAACCACTGACAAAAAGCAAGAGCAAATAATAATAAATACTCTTCAAACACATGAAGCACAGAAACCCTGCTGACGAGTCAGAAGTTGGCCATGGTGCAACAAGAGCAGGAGGTAAGGTGGGAACAAAAAAAAGAACAAAGTGGATGTTTTGCAGTCGTAGTCAGTGAGGACAAGCTCTGAGAAGTGCCTGTGCCAAAATTCTGTATAAGGACACAGGATTTGACTTACATTCAAGCTGCCTGCTGAGGAAGTTGAGGAAAAAATAGCCAAAGCAAAGAGTACAAATTCACCAGGCTGAAGTGGCGTTCACTGAAGTGCTCAGGATGAGGAACGCAGATGAAATAATTTAATTACATAATTGTAGCATGTAATGACTGTGCATGGCAGCCTCCATGTCTGAGAGCTGCAAGGTAACAAATAGGAAGGGTTTGGGGTTATTACAGACTGTGAAGTCTGAGGTGACTCTTGGACAAAGTGATAGAAAGAATATTGGTGCCTTTGGATACATCTGAAATACTGGAGAAAAAAAAGGAACACCTCAAATCTCTTCCATTCTTTAGAGGAGTTTCAGTCTGCATTCTTCAGTGTATTCGTAAATAATCTTGAAAATGAACTGAAAAAAAAGGAATGACAAAACTTGCTGATGATACTGAGGTATTCAGAGTCATAATACATGAGACACTGTAAAGATTTATACAAGGACTACATGATAGTGAAAAACTAAGTAATAAAATGGCTCAGGACATCCAGTCTAGATAGTTACAAAGATAGGCAGACAGGAGAAAAACAGCCGTAGCTGCAGAGCACAGCACTGGGCTCTGCACTGATCCTCAGAAATGTCTTTTTCTCCCAGGTTCACTTGAATCTCAGTCCAAGCTGCACTTGTGCATCACAGGCTGATCACTGGCTTGGGGTTTAGTGCAAACCCAGGAGTTTCATGGGAAGCAACACCACAGCATGGTAAGCATAAAGCCAGGACAAGGCATGATATTTGATTGGCCATGTGTGATGACTGTATTTTGGCAGTTATTTATTTACTAACAAGGGCAGAATACCAGGGCAGCAGCGCCAAGGGAGATGTGGGATCCCCACCCTAGGGACATTTCCCAGGGCTGTACACTGCTGCATGAACCAGCAGTGGGGGTACTTCCAGGCAGTTGCTGTGCTTAGACCAGCAGTGGTGTGAGCACTGACTCAGGCAGGGGTGTTTTTAGCCCCCTGCCCTCTGTTCCTGTCATTCTGCACTAAACCACTGGGTCAAATATGGTGATAATGGAAAGGCAAAGCACTGGCTTGATATGTCACAACATCCCAATTCAGCTCTTCTGCCAACAGCCCTGAGAGACGGTGATAAAACCAAGGTGGTGGGGAAGCTGGAGGAGCTGTCTGGGTTTATCTGTATAGCAGTGCATGGAAAGAGCTGGAGGACAACAGTTCCAACTGCAGTGGGAAGCTCAAGGTCTCCCAGGTACCAGGAGGTCACTAAACTATCACCTAGCTGCCTTCCCACTGGTTAATTTGGTCACTTTGAGATGTTCCTGTTGGATTCATCGATTAGAAACCTCACTCTAATGAGGCACTACCAGTAAATAACTCTCCCCAAACTGGAGTAATTAAAATTAAGCAATACATCACAGAAGCAATATCAATAGTTAACAAGTTGGAGTCAGCCAAGAATTATGGTTTTGCTTTGAGCAGATTCGCTTGGACAGATCTGTTCCTAAACAGCCATGCACTTGGCATCAGAAAATAAGAGCTTGTTCAAACACAGTCCCAAAGATAGTTCTGATCATTATGAACAGTTCTGAACCAGCTAGGATACAGAACACTCAGACCCATCTTAAGGCCAACTCTTACCCAGCTATTCTTAGTTAAAAATCTAATCAGCAATTATCAGGGCTGGATGTGCCTCTCAGCCTTTCTTTCTGTTATGTGACAGGTACCAGCCCAGACACACTAATGAGTACAGCGTTGGCAGGAGGGGAAGTCAGACTGTGTTAGACCTTGTTCACTCACCCAGGCTACAGGTTACAGAGAGGGAACCTTCTTCTCCACCCTTGTAAGTCTTTGCACTTGCCCAAGTCTTCTCATTTTGCCAGCATTATAAAGAAGCCAAACATTATTCTGTATTGCCTGCCTGTTCCTGCACCAGGCAGCAAGGTCTGTAGCAAGGCCAAGACAGAGGCAGCTCTGCTCCAAAGAGGGGATTTGGAAGGGGGAATTTGTACTTAGCTGGGTGTGGAGGCATGGACAAACAGAACCTTTCTATCCCACAGCTGCAAAAAAAACCATCACCGAAACAGGCTATGGAGCTTTGCTATCCACACACAGC